CCCGGATATGATCCAACCCAACTGAGAGCAAATTGCAAAGGACAATGATTGTCCTCTTTTCATGATGTCTCCCTTAAGCATAGTAAAAAATGCATTTACGCCTAACTAAATATCAATAGGTTTTCTGTCATAGAACATAGGATCAGCTAAGACTAGATCGTCAAAACGATTCACAATTTTAGAAGAAAGCAACATATTAGGCACATCTGAAGTTATCTTTGGAATCATGAATGCGTATGTTCAAAATTTGGAGTTTGACTCAAAGTGCGGGGTAAAGATCAATTCCACTTCTCCACTTGTTACAGTATTGAATAAACCAAGGCACGACACTTCAATTTTTTCGTTAAGTCTACCTAACTTTAGTTTTTTGGCACACTCTTCACTTATGAAGCTAGCTTCACTGCCACAGTCTAGTAAAGCCCTGCAGGAGATGGCTTTACCATTGGAATCACTACCTTTAATGACAGCAGTACGCAGTAATACACGTTTTGACACGTTCACCTTTAGAATAACTAAATTGTCCTGTACATGTGCTGGCATTTGTAACGACTTCATTCTTTGGTAAGAACACTTCGGCACTGGTGTAGAGTGAGAACGTGTGTTTTGGTTTCTTATTTTCACTAGTTTTGGGATTTTGATCAAAGTGAAGAACAGTATGATGAGGCAATTTACACGTCATACATTTATGTAAGCTACGAAAATTTTTCACTAAATGAGGCTGAGAAGATAAACAATTAAAACAAAGTTCGTGTTTCTTAATTTGATTCTTTTTTGGACACTTAAGTTTAAAAACCTACCACATTTGTAAAGAGAATGATCTTCTTTGCACATCATGCAACTGTTTTTACTTGACACTAAAGAAGTTGCTTTGGAATTAGAAAATTTCCTAAAATCTTTGATTGGTTTCTACTATTTCTGAAGGGTTCTAGTGTGGTCCTTTAGAAACTCGAGTAAATTATCTAAAGTACCTAATTCATCTTTTATCAAAGTTCTTTCCCACCAAAATTTTATGTTTTTATCTAATTTCTCAGTTATCAGATAAACAAAAAGAACATCAGAAAGATCAGAAACTTCTAGCTTAAGAGTTCTCAAGGAACGTACACATTCATTCACTACATCACTACAATGTAAAATAGCTTGTGCTGATTCAGAAACATTTCGCAAATTAAACATTTTACGGATTAATGCATTAGTTAACTCTCTTTTATTACAATAACGTTCCTGTAAAAGTTGCAAGGCTATATCGTAATTAACATCAGGTATTGGAATAGACTCAATAATAGACAGTCTTTTTTTTTTTACAAGAAGCCTTTAAATATTGAAACTTCTGACATTTAGAAATATTTGGATTGTTATCTACACTTACCTTAAAAAGATCATAGAAACTAATCCACTCTTCTTTATTTTCCCCTGTAAAGAAAGTTCTAATTTTGGTAATCAAATGTCAGGTGAATTTACTTTTGCTACACAACTTGTTTCTGTAATTTTTTATTTATTGTTATCCATAATTCATCTAAAGTTTCTTGTACTGTTTGTTGCTCCGTAATGAATGTATCACAATCTTTTTCAGGACACACCAAAAATTTCCTCAAATATAGAGCGAAATTCACTGTTAAAAACATTTAGTTTCGTTTCGAACAATTTTACCTCTAAAATTTCTGCTTGTTCTAAATTTAAATTTACCTTGCCTTTAAACATTATTATATAGCTTTTTAGAACTTTCTTTTTAGTTAAAACTGGTTTAAAATCAGCCATTAAGAATAATAATAAATATTATACTAACAACTTTAGCAAAAGAAGAGGGAAAAATTGGTACGTACTCACCTCAATGCTGAGGTTTCTACACTACACCATGCCACACGCACAATCCAGAAATGGAAACTGATTCCACCTCGGATGTTACACGCATAATGCACAAATCGAAACTGATTTCACTACGGATGTGACATGCATAATCCACAAATCGAATCGAAAGTACACTACGCTGACTATTAATCCACAAATCGAAAGTGATTTCACTTGCTAATTTAAATAAATCACATATATCCAAAACTCGCTGATTCTTCTCTGCGGTCGCACGTACCAGAAAATGATTAAGCATAAGTTCACAAAAAGAAAAACTAAGCAGGCAGAGACACATTGGTAATTCGTTTGGTAACAAAAAATACTAAACATATGTTATTTATTTATTCTCAATGTTTTTCATGACTATTAATTAGCTTATTTATTTAATTTTCAGATGTATATTTATGTTTTGAAGTTGATTCTTACGGGCATTTCTTTAATAAAGCAAAGACAAAAACTTCTTACAATTCCATGGAACCTGTTTTTAATCAGGTCAGTGTTGTTTAGAAAATCTTACCTTAAGATTGTACAATAATTTGAATTTTATAATTTATATTTATTATTAGCTGTAAAGAAAAAGAAAGGAGTTAACAGTATGTTGAACAACAAACAGCCTAAAAATTGAATAACGACATAGTTGATAGTTCTATTAAAAATGAAAAAAAAAATGTATAATTACTGCCATTCAAGCTTTTCTTGGAGTGATGAAAAGTAATTTTAACTAAATTTTTTAAAAAATTGATATTTTGAATTTATATGCTATTTTATCTCATTATTTGCAATTATTTACTATATGAAGGAAAATAACAGTAATAACACATTGAATTTGATTTTCTAAATCAGAATTATATTTTGTAACTAATTTCTTTTATTCTTCTATAAAACAAAAACTAGAATTTCAGATTACATAATTGCTTTATATATATATATATATATCATAGCTGTTGACTGTCCTGGTATATCATCACATCTCTCGGTCTGCTGGTAGAACATTGAACAGAACTAGTTTTTTAAATTTCGTCCTTTGCTGAAGAAAGTATTTCCCAGCAATGAAGGAAATTTATTGAATTATTGAAATCTAAATTGTGCAAATTTCATCCCATGTGATTTTCATTATAATTTTTCTTGTTAAATTTTAATTAATCTGAATTGTTTTAATGTACTGTAGATATTTGTTGAACTTTTTATGAAAATTCAACCAGTGTTTAACTGGTTAATATTCAAATTTTTGTTTTATGCCAATAAATAGTTCATTATTATGTTTACCCACACAGTAGAATTTATGTTAATTATTAACTTTATTTTCATCGTATTTAAGTCTGATAGATAAAGCTTTTTTTGCCAACTTGGTTTCTTTTATGAAAGTGCAAGAGTGTTAATGAAATCAGCCACAAGACATAGCATATAGAATATTTAATTAGATATGAACATATTTAGTATCAGAATCATATGATAAATAGTTCAATAACTGTAATCATGCATTATAACGTGAATTTGCAGTTCTTTTAAAATATCATCTCTGCAATTAAAAAAACTTCTTGCTTTTTTCTGGAAGAGCTCCCAGTTTTCCGTATTTCGAAGTTAGCAGCTGTGATATATAAAGGAGAGAGAGAATTATTTTTTCTCCTTTAATTCAGATTAAATTTTTGCATCTGATAAGCGTAATGCATAATGCAGTTAATTAGCATAATGCAAATTACATTTTTGCATAATAAGCATAAATAAATAAACATTTTTATTGCTTTCTATAATAGCAGTATTACTGACACCCTATTAAGAGTTGTTAACCAAAACTATAATTTATACAGTCAAAAGTCGTTAATCCGGACTCGTCGGGACTTCGGCGATTCCGGATTATCGATTTTTCCAGATTATAGATTATCAGTTTAAATCTGGTAAGATGGCATGCAGAAATTACAAAATTAAAAATATGAAACCGTAATTTAGGAAATTAAGAACAATTATGGTCTAAAGGGTATCAAAATTTACAAAAAGAAAAAGCTTAATACTTATTTGTTTACTTTATTAAACGTTTCTTTCAATGTAAGTTGTTTAAGTTGCTTCGTTTCATGTGATAATACTTTCTCTTTATTAAACAAACATAATTTCTTGTTTAGTTACAAAGTTCCACTGTTCAAGTTCTATAATTGCTGTGTCGAGAATACCGACTAATTTGTCAATTGAAATTTTTTCGTTTTCAATAACCTCTGTTACTTTCTTCAATATCGGAAGCGAATTATAATGATGAGGAACTTGTTTTAAATCATATCAAAGACGGAGTACATCGAGATGAAATACTACATTTAGTAAGGAATTATAAGCCAAATAAAATAAAAACATCTGCCCTGAAGATAAGGATAGTGCTGACAGATCAACTTCCAATTCATTGCGCGCCGCGGCGTTCCCCCCCCCCCCCCGCAGAGCAGCGTGAAATTGATAAACAGATTTCGGATTTCAAAACATACTTTCGCTTTAGATCCTTTACATATTAGCAAATATATATCGGAAATTCTATTTGATATAATCGAAAGTTCAAGCTTACTTTTATAAAATTGCTCTAACAGTCTGCAAAAAATAATAAGCCGGATCCAATTCGAAGATTAAGGAACAACGCAATCTGCAACATTAACTGAATTAGATAATTTTAGCTTAGCTTATACCGTCCGTTATACATTAAACGCGCATGCGTAAACGTTTTATGCGCACGCGCACATGCATATTCGCAGCCGTAAAGGTCTTACGCGCGCACGTAAACCTCTGCGCAATGTCACGCGACGCATGCGCAGAAAGTTTGTAGCTTTGAGGTCCGGATTATGGGTGTCCGAATTAACGACTTTTGACTGTATTATCAATATAGTTATTTTTAAGCTAGAAATCTAATTTTGTAACATTAGTAATATAGATAGATAATTTAATGGACACTAATCTGTATAAAATTTGATGAAATAAAAGTTATGTTAATGAAATATGTATGTATAAGTATTAAAAAATGAAACACAAGTAAGAGATTTATGTTTAGCTGAGCTATTTGTTTGATGCATCTAAACAGTCAGTTTCAAGCAACGCTTTCTGCTTTCTTTTCAACAATGACCAGAGGCACATAGAAAAAAACTGATGACTTTTTATGAATGATATCATACACTTGGTAGATATGTGGTTTATATGTTATGTTGCTTACTTCGGTGTAAGTTACATTGCTTTGTTGAATTTGGTATGGTGATTATCATAGATCCTCTCAGTGACTGGATACAGATAAGTGTCCAAGGTATTTTCCAAGTTATCTCTCCATCCTTACTAGGTGCTCTTGCATGTGTGAAGATGTATAAAAATATTTAGTTATATCGTTCACAAGTCTTCTGAGGAGCTACAACTTGAATTCAGACTGCTGCTGGGCTGAACTGTGCGAAATGACCAAATGAACATCTTCGCCTGAAGCAGCCAACATTTGGAAACAGATATGGTGATGCCTTATATATGTCTCCCCCCCAAAAAAAGGCTAACATTTCACAAATAAGGTCACAAAACCCTTCCTCCTCAACCACACTCAACTGATCTGTACCCAATAGATAATCACATTAAGATAAGGATATCAGTGAAAAAATAATTAAAAAAATTGTAACCATCACTTGGATAAGTTTATTTACAGTCAGAGGTATTCTGGAAATAAATTGTCACACCTAATATATGAAAGCTATTTAACCTTTCCAAAAGTATGAATTACTGTTTACTGTTGGCAACATCACAATCTACCCATGTTCAGGAAAAGTATGAAATAATCTAATAATTTGATGGACCCTCACAATGGTTGCAGAAGGACGCATTGTTTGATCCACTGGTTAACTTGCAGTTGATAGATTATCCAGCCTCCATTTTAGGATTATAGATCCATAGCTTCATCTTGTATTTATTTCATTTTACATTCATTTTTTAATATGGTCTTAATTTTTATTTGACTATATTTAGTTACAGTGTGGTTTGCAACCGAGTTTAATCATCTCACTAAAATCAACAAATGTATGTTAAAGTTGTTACTTGTCCTTCTGATTTTGAGATATATATTCAGATCAGGTCTACATATTAATATGACAGAAAGGAAAAGATCACTTGCCATTGGTTAAGCTTTGAGCATGTTGTAGGTGACAATATGAATTTCTCCAACTCCTTCTGAATTTCAGTAGAGAACTCCAAGGGAATCAAAGGGTTTTTAATTCCTCTTTGCCTGCTACCATTCTTCGAGAGGATTTTCAGCTCAATGATATTTCAAGTAATAATAAGATATAATTCTCTTTGTTTTCGAAAACTGAAGGTCCAGGAATAATAGTTAATTATGTGGAAAAATGGTTACAATTTTTTTAATTATTTTTTCACTGATATACTTATATGTAGTGTGGTTGAAAAAAACTGCATAAAAAATTGTAATAAAAGTATTTGTCTGAATTAATAGCTTAGCATAAAACAGAGAACAGTTAAATGCTTTTTTGAATCTGTAATATTTAATGTATTTAAAAGAGTGTGTCTTGTAAAATAATTACCCACTAAAGGATACACGGTAGCTGGCGACGATGGATGTGTGATTTTTTAAAAAAATGTGCCTAATGCAATCTGAGTAAGGGTATAGGGGATTCTCCAAAGACGGCTCAAGTTAAAAGCTTTTATAATATTTTTTTCTTTTGGAAGGTCATGGAGCAGCTTGTAACTGAGTTAATAGTGCAGAATGGAGCTCTAATGGAGAGACTTACTTCAGTTATTACTTCACAAATGGACAATTCGAAACTTTCAGTTCAGTTTTAAAAATATAATGAACACAAAGAACAGTTTGATTTGTTTCTAGAGAGATTCAAAAGTTATTTAGATATACAAAATGTTTCACTGGATAAGCGTGGGAAAGTATTGATTTCTAGTTTGTCTGGAAAAATGTATAGTCTCTTAAAAAACTTGCTAGCTCCTGATAATCCTTCCGATAAAGATTATGAAGTGTTAAAAACAACACTGAGAAATCATTTAAATCCTAAGCCACTTATAATTCCTAGCAGGCATGTATTTTTAAATCGAAAGCAGCACGAGGGGGAAACAATTAGTGTATATATAGCAGAGTTAAGGTCACTTGCCATACCGTGTGCTTATGATCAGGATATGTTAAATACAATGTTGCAAAATGCATTTGTTAGTGGGCTTAGAGATAGGGTTATTCTGGATAGAATTTTTGAGCAGGATAATATCAGTTTAGATGATACTTTAAAAATAGCTTTAGCAATGGAAAAAGCATTAAAAGGTGCAAATGAAATAATAGGGAAATCATCGTGCCAGGAATAAAGTCAGTCGCTCCAAAACAAAAGTTTGAAAAACAAAACTTCGCAGCTAAGAGTGCTAAAGGAAAATTGTGTTCGTGATGTATGGGGACTGACCATGATAGCAATTCTTGTAAATTTAAGACAAGTATCTGCAGATTTTGTAAGAAAATCAGACACTTTGAAAGAATATGCTACAGTGCTAAAAACGCTGAAAGAATGAAAGCGAAACAAAAACAATTAAATGTAGGAAATGAAAACACAGTTCCTATAAACAGCAGACATTCCAGTGAGGTGAAAAATAGGAAACCGCCCATAATGGTCCAAGTGAACATAGATGGAAAACCGGTTGCTCTGGAACTGGATATAGGAGGTGCAGTATCGGTAATGAGTTTAAAAAAATTTCCGGAAAATTTCAAAAAAGAAAATTAAAAATACAGGTCTGGTATTTAAAACATATAATGGAGAAAAACTGATACCTTTAGGATTTACTACAGTTAAGGTAGAATATAAAGGTCAAAATAAAAACTTAAACATTTACATTGTTAAAGAAAGCCTTGATACAATATTTGGTCGAGAATGGCTTTCAGAGATAAATTTAAATTGGTCCTCAATAAAGTCAATTTCTGTCTCTCAAAAGAGTAGTTTAAATAAATTATTGGAACAATATAAAGAGATTTTTGACAAAAAATTAGGAGAGATAAAAAATTATGAGGTTCAACTTGAATTGAAGCCAAATGCTTCAACAAATTTTGGTAGAGCTAGGCAAGTACCATTTGCGTTAAAGGGCCATATAGATGAAGAAATTGATCGCTTGGAAGAAGAGGATATAATCAAAAAGGTTGAAATGTCGAAATGGGCAACTCCGGTAGTACCAGTAGTTAAGCTGGATTGCTCTATACAGCTGTGTGCCGACTACTCGGTGACAGTAAACCCAAATATTGTTACACCTCAACACCCTTTTCTGACCATACAGGAACTATTTTCATGTTTGAGCAGGGAAAATATTTTTCAAAAATTGATTTTAAACATGCTTATTTACAAATGAAAGTACACCCAGAGACTCAAAAATTGCTAACAATAAACACACAGAAGGGATTATATAAGTGTAAGAGATTAATGTTTCGGTTAAATGCAGTGCCAGCAATCTGGCAATGTTACGTAGACGAACTAGTCCACAGAACGGAAGGGTGTAAGGTCTTCATGGATGATGCGCGGATAACGGGGGTGGATGATGAAGCACATTTAAATACTTTAAAAATTTCTTTGAAAAATGTAAAACTCATGGACTGAAATTAAATTTAGAGAAAAGTAAATTTTTTCAGGATGAGATAAAATACTTAGGTCATAAAATTGATGCTAATGGTTTACATTAGACTGATGAAAAAATATCAGCGATTGCAAAAGCCCCAAGGCCCAGAAATGTCCAGGAAATTCAAAACTTTTTGGGATTGTTTAATTTTTATGGAAAATTTTGCCCTAAATTAGCTACAATCGCAAATCCTTTATATCAATTACCAAAGAGAAACTCAAAATGGGTTTGGACGAAAGATAATCAGGAGGCTTTTCTAAACCTTAAAAAAGAATTGTGTTCACAAAAAGTTCTAATGCATTATGATTCAAAATTGCCCTTAATATTGGCATCTGATGCATCACCAGTAGGGTTAGGTGCAGTATATTCTCACGAACTTCCTGATGTAACAGAAAGGGCCAATTGCATATGCTTCAAGAACACTGAGCGCTGCCTGAGATAACGACTGACCTGACTTTGTTGTAAAAATCTTACAGATAGTCATCCTGACAGAAGGGAATATTTCCTCCGTGTAAAAATATAAATATAAATATTGCATGGGCATACAAGGCTGTGTATAAGCATAGATATGTTGATTAAAAAATGTCTTTACGTGTTATAGTTACAAAATCATGACAGTTATGTGTACATTTAAAATTATGACTTCATATTTACAATATTTTACTGAGATAATCAAAGTAAACTTGTAATTCATTTACACATTACTGGATTTTCAATATCATTTAAACTTTTACAATATTATTTTTATCAAGTACATACAAATTGGATAGTAATATTCTTACATTACAATAGTTTTCCTCTTACAGTCCTGTTACTATTCAACGGGGTGAGCTATTTTTCTAGTGTTGATTTTCAGTTGTTGTAGTATTTTGAATTGCTATTAAAATTATGCTGTGAAGATACAATTCTTGAGGGAGGGGGAGAATTTCTTAGTACCTTGCTAAGCATAGCCTGATTACCTTCTCTATTTTAGTTTTTGTCTGCTTGTTGCCACAGGTATTCTTCGCCCATTGTGGCCAGTATTCACTGCTTGGCATTTTTAAATGCAGTATATCGGTTTGTGGTCAGTTGAAGAGGAAGTGATCTGCATCACCTACTTTGCCACATTCACGCAATTCTGATGCTCGTTTGCTGAATCTCTTAAGATAATGTGGGAAGGGACCATGGCCAGTGTAGAATTGAGTTTGTGCTCTGCTGTATGTATTAATTGAGCATGTAACTTTCAGAAAGAACTTGTAGCTTCTCCTCCCTGTGCTTTCCCTTTCCCATCTTTTCTGCCATTCTTGTAAAAGGCTATTGAGCATGATTTTTTTTTAAATAGGACTGCGGAAAACTTACTGCGTTTCCAGTCTATTGGAGTCTGGCTGCATATTTGCAAGCACGTCGCCACTTCGTGCAGTAATATCCACATGAGCTGGAAACCAGTCAGGATAGTCTGTCCTGGTGGGAAACTTAGAAGAATTTTCTGAATATCTTGCACCAAAGGACTCCTTGTCTTGTGCCCTTGGATGGACTCCAAACTTAGGCGGAGTCGCTGTATATGTTGACCTTAATTCCTAATTGATATTTTGCCAAATTGATGGCTGCTTTTAATGCAAGAAGCTCTGCCTGAAAGTGAAACAGAGAAGAAATATCCTCAAACCGATAAAGAAGCTTTGCCAATCATTTGGGGAATAAAAAAAAATTTTTCTGTACTTAAAAGGCAGAAAATTTACATTAATTATAGATCATAAACCTCTTGTTGCAATTTTCGGCTCAAAGAAAGGCATTCCAGTTTTGGCAGCAAAAGACTCCTACATTACGCTTTGGCTTTACAGTCATTGCAATTCAATATTATTTACTGAAAAACAAACGAACATGGTAATGCTGACTTTCTATCGCGATTGCCGACGAACTCGGAGCAACTATGTGTTCAGGATGATGTAACTATTTTTCAATTACAGCAGATTGAAACTCTTCCAATCACGGCCAGAGATTTGGCTAAAGAAACTGAAATAGATGCTGAACTTAGTCCTCTGCTGCGAATACTACAAAGTGGCGGTGAATTGAAAGGAAGGAAGATGGAGTATAGTTTTCAAGATGGCTTTATAATGTATGGTCAATGCGTTTGTATTCCGAAATGGTACCGTGAGAATGTTTTGAAAGAATTGCACCACGGACCCTTAGGGACTGTAAGGAAAGCAATTGATAGATCTTATGTATTTTGGAATGGTATAGATAAAGATATCGAAAATACTTCCAAAATTTGTTCTGAATGTGCAAAACATGAAATAGATCCTCCTAAGGTAAAAGTTCATCATTGGGAGTACCCGAGCGCTCCAATGGAACATATCCAGATTGATTATGCAGGACCTATTTTTGAGCATATGTTTTTGATAGTCATCGATGCTCGCTCTAAATGGCTAGAAGCCTATCCATTGAAATCAAGCTCGACTTTTAAAACAATAGAATGTTTATGGGACTTTTTTGCACGATTCAGATTCCAATATTGTTAGTGAGTGATAACGGACTATAATTCACTTCACATGAGTTTAAGATATTTCTACAGAGTAACTGAATCAAACACAAAACTACAGCACCATTTAAACCATTCAGTAATGGGCAGGCTGAATGGTATGTGGTTACAGTAAAACAATCTTTAAGAACAATGCAAAATTATCCAGGAACTTTGAGACAAAAACTGAGTACACTTTTGATGCAATATAGGAAAGCTCCAAATTAACTACTCTCAGACCATTGCAATGCTATCTGAAGGGGAAATTGAACAATAAGTTATTGAGACCAAATCTCAAAGGAGGGTGGAAGACAGAATTCGAAAAGGAAACTACGAGTTTGCAGTCCGAGGATTTAGAGTAGGAGATAGAGTGGCAGTAAGAAATTATCGCCAAGGTGATAGACGATGGAGATTTGGAACCGTCCAATCCAAGGATGGGCATCTTCATTACACCATAAATTTAGATGGTCAGCTATGGCGATGACAGATCGATCAGATGATGATGGAGGAACCGTAACCGATGAGGGGTCCTTACGTCCACCTCCAGCTCTCATGATTTCCAACGAGCCTGATAAGAGTGGAGTTCCAGAACCATCCAAAAATAATAGCCACCAGACAGATGAATATGTGTCGTCCTCTGAGTCCGAGGTTGTACCAGATGTTCCATCCACCAGACCTGTTGCTGATACAACCAGGTTACCAAAGAAACCTGCAGTGCCACAGCCTTTGTGTCGGTCCAATAGAATTCGACGTCCTCCAGATAGACTGCACTTATGATAAAGGGGGATGGATGTGGTATATCGAGAACTATCGATGTGTATATTATAATCAGACTTAAAGCTGGTACAGTGCCAAGCATCGAAGCATACGCAGTAATAAGAAAAGGACTGGAATGCGAGTAGCTGTAATTAGAAGTTTTTTTAGCTGTAGATATATAAGTGTGTATGCGAGTGATGATATATTTTGTATATATAATAAAAGTAGAATGTAGTTTAAAAGAGTGTGTCTTGTGAAATAATTTCCCACTAAAGGTTACACGACACTAAGCATGCAAAATTGAAAGAAAACTGTATAGAAAGTGTCACATTAAACAAATGATATAAACATCTCCTACTCTAAATTTATAGATAAAAATATTTTAAATGCATTAAAACATATTCATGAATTTGTATAAAAGAAATGTTGTTAAATGCACTTTACTTGAATTTTATGTTTATTTGCATGTCAATTTCTTTTTATTTTCAGGACTTTGTTATTGATTTAGAAGGTTCTCAAACTTTAAGAATTCTGTGCTATGAAAACACACCACAGGGACCAATATTAAGAGGAAAAGGTGCCTTAGAGCTTAGTCAAACTTGGTTAACTGATAAAATACAAGAAAAATCTGTTAGTTTACAGGAGGTAAGAATCATTTCATATGCTTTCAGCACACCTGATAATTTAAAAGCGATGGAGCAAAACATTGCAATGAATAACTGTATATTTCTTATTTGATGGAATATTAGGAAAATTATTTCTTATATGAATTGGGAGAAATATTAAAACTTTTCTTCATTAATGACATACTTAAGAAGAGAGAAAGAAAATAAAAAATAAACTTTCTGTTATTGTGTTCTGTTTCTGCTACTCTATTTATTTCATCATATAGTATTTAACTGCTTTACTTTTATGTAAATATTGATGAAAAATGAAAGCAAATGTCAGATGTCAGTTTTAATTTTGATAATGTAGTGACAAAATTTCATTTTTTAACTCTTTTTGTGTTATATATTTAAAACTTGGAGTGTATAAAATATCTAATCTTAATCTTGTGTAATCATATCTAGGTGTTTAAATCTTAATATTATATAATTTTTTGTCCTTCATGAAGGTTTATATTAAATACATAAAACTTTCACACCCCCCCCCCAAAAACCTAATGAAATGAACTTCTAAAAAATTAAAAATAATAGTAGTAGTAATAAAATTAAAGTGAAGAATTTTTAACAAACTGTCAACTTCTCTAGCAATTAAAAACAAGGAGTATAAAACTGTTAGTCTTAAATTTAGTTTATTAAAAAACTCTTTTAAAACAAATATTTTTTTAAAAAAAGTTTTTTTGACTAGAAGTAAAATTGTAATAAATCTGTAAGTTTTTTTATTGTAAAAAATTGTAAATATGTTTTCCTGGCAATTATTTTAGCTAATGCTCACTGTTGGTCTCAAGTATGAACCTCCAGAATTATCTCTGAGAAGAATTCCATCTTCAAAGTCTGGTGGAGTTTTCGGTGTAAAAATTCAACAAGTCTGCAAGTAAGTTTTGTTTTAAATTAAATTAAAAATTGCGATATAGAAACTGGTTATTCTTTTCCCTATGCTGTATGTTTTCCTGTTGAGAGGTTAATCATACATTTTTGTCCAGAGCAATATGTTTTTCTTTTAGGATTTGTCACTATTCAACTACATAAAACCCTACTTCAATTCCAGAATGTCTTTTATTTGTTATATAAGGACTCCTTCAAGCTTTGCAGATTAAAATGAATATATAAATAAAAGTTCTTTTTAATTGTTTTTCATTTTTTGCACCCCTCTGTCTACAGATTTTATAAAAAGTATGTCAAGGAACTAAACATAGCAAAAAATAAGCAATTACTAAATAGTTATTACTATCTTCTATGCAAATTATAAATTAAGGAAATATTCTGCCCCCCCCCCCCATTATATTTGTAGTGATTTTCTTTGCAAATGCAGTGTAAATAAATAAATAAAAAATATGAGTATGAAAATCTGACTATGTTAAATCACCAATAATTTGATACCTCTTTTGCTGCCATTCTTGCACAAAGCTACTAGCATTTCATTCAGCAATATTCAGAAACTCCTGCAAATTGAAAAATTAACCATTTATGGAAAAGATAAGTGTATTATATTTCAAAATGTGTTGAATTTGTAGGAGGCAAAAGAAATGCTGAGTAATGAAAAATAAGAAGGCTCAACCAAGATCACATGGAATGAAGCTGGGGAAATTTTGAATACAGTTGTAAAAAAAGTACAATGATGGAGAAATAATAAATATCCTTAATTAAAGAATATATATATTTAAATAAGAGCAGAATTATTGAGGCTAATGGGCATTTGACCTGTTTTGAGTAGGACTTGATGCACGGGAAACAGTTATTATTTAAAAAAGAAAACTGGTTAAATGTTGGATCATCTGGAAATATCTGCATTATATATATATATATAATAAATCCAAATGAAGCTTTACAAAAACATGAGAAAATTTCATTGAATCATATAAACACAATTTTGTTCTATGACCTTTTTGCCGTTTCTCTGGCAGCTGGAAAATTCCTTTTTTAAAAAAGTCATTAGTTTATTTATAAAGAAGTTGTCTGCATGCTATTTGATAGGAAAATGCTGGATACATTTGAGATTTGATTTTTTGGTTTTAAATGAATTTTAATGTCTTAAATGAAAATTTAATTGAATCTTCTTTCAGTGTTTGATCTCAAATGTACCAGAACAACGAAACATGTATTCACAATGTATATTCGAAACAAATTAATTGACTTTTATAAAACTTTAATCTGTTTTTTCCTGATGAGTTCTGAATTAGAGTTTGAGTAAAAGGAGATTAATTTTTATAATTTTGTATATTTTTTCCTTTTCGCCTTTTTATTTTTTGAGTTTCTTTACTGCTGAATTCTTATTTTAATTTATATTAGATACAGTGTTAAACCTCTTATCCAATATTGCAATTATTAATATTGTTGAGGAATTGCCTTGCTTTGATTCCAATTTAATTTAAATGCTTTAAGTTTAATTTAATTCACTACTGCAGCTATAGCACAAGACTGGTTAAACTTTTTTTGTTTTTAATTTTTGGCCTATTACAATGTTTCTTTTTATCTATATACATTCCTTTCTGTGTAACACCAAAAAGTCTGATTTGGAATCATTTGACCTTTAAAATTATCCCTCCATATAAAAAAAACCCATCTAAACAGTTTAGACAAGAATCCCTACATTTCCACTGTTTTTGTAAAGGAAAGCCTTTCTTTCAGGATGAATCAAACTAACTGAAAGCGCCATTGTTGATAGCAGTAAAGGACTTCTTAAAAGGGGGAAAGCCCAAGGTACGAAAAACTCGCATCTTTTTAATGATCTTACAGGACTCAAATTCCTGATTTCAAAAGGTTAATTATGGCCAAAAGGCAGATGATATTTTAAATGCCCTATGCTTCAAAGATGCTATATATTTGCAAACATACATGCCTTCACTGGGATTCAAACCTGGGACCAATGATATGGCATCACTAGCCACTACACCGATGAGGGTGCACTGAAGTATCGTCCATGTTGTTTTGTAAAATGTTTAAAAATTTTATATAGTAATAGAGTGTTTCTATTTTGATAACATTCTGATCCTTTCCAATGCTATTTACTTTTTTCTGAAGTATTGCTTTGTATATTTTGTTGTACTTCAGCATTTTAGAAAACTTTCATATTGGTTTGTGCATTCCTGAATGAGGAATATTGATGTACTGTGTATTAATTTATGAAATGTTGTGTGTTTTCAGGAAAGAAAAGTCTACTATTCCATTTATTATGATCAGTTGTATTAGGGAGGTGGAAAAACGTGGAATTCACGAAATTGGTATCTACAGAGTTTCGGGTTCTGCCTCTGATGTTCAAAGGCTAAAAAAAAGTTTTGAAACAAGTAAGTGACAAAAATATAAAAATGTAATGCTAAAAGCTTGAAATTTAATAAAGCATCTGCATATATTTATATTAGCTTAGATTTATAGAGATTTGTTTTGTCTCTGAATTGTGTGTATGTGGTTATTTAGGCAGCTCTTGAAACTGAATAATATTTTTATAGAATATTGGATATTTATAATTAATGTTAATTTATTCCAATGTTTTAATGTTAAAAAAAAAAAAAAAACTATTGATCTCACAGACTGAAATGCAGTTTTACAAGTACACATTCAGAAAATAATTTATAAAAAGTGAATAGTTCTGAAACTCATCATTAAGTATATTGTGAGTTTTAGTTTTCATTGAAGCTCTTAATTTTTCAGATTGCATTAATTAGTCTCATTTGTCTTAATTCTGTTACTGATTTAATTTTTAAAATAAGAAGAAAAATATTTTTATTTGTAGTTCACCCCTTGCATAAAGCAGCAATGCTATAACTCAAAGTTTCCTTCACTTTTCAATACCCATCACTACTCTAAATAAATGTTAGTTGGTTATCCATAAGTGTAATGTTCTATTTTGCTACAAATTCTTTTTTAGAATAAAAATATAATGTAAAGAAACTTTTGCATTTCTGCAAAATCACTGTGTTGGGCTTCAAGTGGTAACATTTGAACTAAGTGTATGTAACATTTAGTAATTATTTTATTTTGCCAAATGCAGATAATCGGAGAATTTTTTGCTTTCCCCAGGTGAGTTGTACAGACAGTGTATGGAAATGTCAGTAACTGACAACTGTAATTTTTGAAAAATTTGGAATCTGATTTTGATCAACCTATCTTCTTCTTGTTAGGATCTTGTTTGGCAAACTAATACTTCAACTTTATTTTGCAGTAATTCTGATCTTTTACTTTTTCGCTTAATGGGAAATCTGCAATCATCTGTGTATTAGAAAAGTTAATATTAAAAAATCAATTTTTAAAAATGTATTAAAAGTCAGTGTGCAAACATACTTACTCATATCTGATAATACTGGAAATAAGTATGTGTTTAATAGTTAATCATGAAATGCATGTCTTTTTTATTTATTTATTTTATTTAGATGTTTATGAAGCAGAACAGCTTTTAAAAGAGGTTGATATTCACTCAGTAACAGGAATGTTTAAAATGTATCTCCGAGAGTTACCTGAAGCTCTTTTTACTGATGCATCTTACCAAAAATTCTTCCGTGCTTTTAGTAAGTTTGGAGTTGTGCTTTTTATTGAAAAACATTTATATCATATAAAACATATGGACAGGTTTGGGGGGGGTAGTGCTTTAAGTCCTTGCAGTAATTTTTTTGGGGGGGGGGCATTCCTATTTTGAACTTTTTATATTGTAACTTTAGAATATATTTTATTACAACTTTGCACCAAACTGTTTACAACATCAGTGTATACCTAATTCTGTTTTTATATGACAGATACATTCCTGAAGAATACATTGGGGTAAGATACAGTGTATCTATGAAAGAAAAGAATGGTTGTAGATCTAAAAAATCTGCAAAAATAATTTTTAAAAGCCATATGAAAATATTCGCTTTAAATTTATTATTTCAACAAAACAGCATTAATAGTATATGATGAAAATGCACGAAAGTAAATTTGCATTTGGAATAAAAAAAAAATTCTTCACAAAAAGGGGGGGGAATCTGTTTTACATATGACAGGATTTAATTCACTTTCATTTTCTGACAATAAATGCTGCATATGTTTGCATACAACTGGGATATCACTAGAAATGTTGCGAACATCGTCTTCCTCTATTAATGAAATTATTCCTGTGATGTTAGGATCACAGTAGTAATTTGAGTTAAATCTGCCCAAGCTGATTCTGATGTTTCACCAGTTTTATTATTTATTTAGTTGTTAATCAGTGTGAAAGACTGCCAACAACTTCAGATGACATTAAAACTTTCATGCATTTTCATTGTATCTTGTCTTAGGGGTCTTGTTTGTATTGTAGGGTCTTGTTTGACAAACTAATTCTTAAAAATAATTATACATTTAGTCATGTGAAATTACTAATCGCTCTGGGGAGGTACTTCATTCTTCTCTATGGTCTGTTATGTAATTTATTTTTACCTGCATGTACTACTGTGCTACAAAACAAATAAAAACTGATTATCTTAGAATTTAGGCAAGACAAAAATTTCTTAGAAGTTAGCTTGGCCCACTTGTGTTAAATAGAATGACACATGTAAAAAGAGAACAAAATAATTATTTTTATTTCATGATAAGTGGAATTTATGTATTATAGAAGTGAAAAATATTGAAGTGCAGTGTCATGACAGTTAATAGCTGTATAAAAGTATCAAAATATGCTCATCAAATAGACTTTCTCTTCTTATCATTGAATTGAGTATTTGTATTAAAAATGGTAAGTGTGGAGTTAAAATCATAGAAACTCTGTCCTTTTCATTTTACTTAATTCAGGGTACACTATATTTCCAAATATGGCATTATTTAATTCGTTAAATCACATGTGATTTATTAAAATGAAGCTTTCTCTAAAAGACTTGTCACTCCAGTTGGAATAATTACAGAATTTTAAATTTAACATCTAAATTAGAGTAGGTAATTAAAACAAATGCAGTAAATAAACTGTATGAGTAAAAAAGAAAAGAACATTATAGATTATTAAAAATGTGAAAAACTATTAGTATGGTAGATTTCTTGTATTCATAAGTGATATAGTCCAAGACTTACTGCAAATTTATGCATTCACAGATAATGGCAAACCCAACCTCTAAAATAGGTAACATATATAGATAAGGGCGGACAGATCGTTTTTATGGACAAACACACATATATTACTGGAATCTCTAAACTGATAAATGAAGGCCCATACTGCTCGATCCCTAAAGATCCTTCAACTTCGGACCTCACGAAAGTTAAAAGTGCTATCAAATCTGCTCATATTCTTCCAACGCAGTTGAAGAAATCACTTATTCCACCTATTACTAATTGCGCTAGGCTTTATGCTCTTCCAAAAGTCCACAAAACCGGTATTCCTTTTCGACCCATTGTTTCCAACATAGGTACTGCTTCATATCCTTTGGCCAAATATTTAGTTTCCAGATTTTCTCCTCTACTTGCTAACAATATTCACACTGTAAAAAACTCTGTTGAAGTCATTGATAAACTTAAAAACATTTCTCCACTTCGTTCCATTATGGTTTCATTTGATGTCAAATCACTGTTTACTAATGTTCCGGTCGAAGGAGCACTAAATTGTCTTGAAACTAGGCTTCGGGAATTTCACTTCACACATACTGAAATTAATGAGTTGGTTTCGCTTACTAAAGTCTCTCTAAGCCAAACCCACTTTGTTTTCCAAAATGCATATTTTCGTCGAGTTGAAGGATTGGCTATGGGTAATTCTTTCAGTCCGGTACTTGCTGACATTTATATGCACTATTTTGAGATGAAATTATTTGATAAACTATCTTTTCGTCTTTGGATTCGGTATGTTGACGACACTTTCGCATTTTTTTATGGTTATAAAGAAGATTTATCCAAGATTCTATCTATTATGAATTCTATTGATCCAGCCATCCAATTCACTCTTGAAATTGAATCCAACAATTCCCTCCCCTTTCTTGATATTCTTATAATCCGCAATGAAACTGATTTTAGCACTACTGTGTACCGTAAACCCTTTGCAGTTTGTTTACCAACCCATGCCAAGTCTTGCCACCCTGTTAAGCAAAAAATGGCTTCTTTTTACTATTATGTATTCTGCGCGCTTAAAGTTTGTTCCTCTGAATCTTTGCTTACCAATGAACTTAATTATTTGAGAGCAGTTGCGATTGACCGTGGGTTTTCTCCCGTGATTATTGATAAAGCTGTTAAACAATTTTCAGATTCCCATCAAAGAAGACATTCCACTGTTAGAAATAATATTAATGACCTTGTCGTGCTTCCATTTTATCCTTCTGTTAGCTATAAAATTGCACGGATTCTCCAGAAATTCAATTTTCAAGTCGGTTTCTCCCCTATTAATAAATTTCACCCTTCGATTCTAAAAGATTGCGTTTCTGTCTTGAATTCTTGGGGAATTTATAGTATATCTTGTCAGTGTGGTTTAAGATATATTGGCCAAACAAAAAGAGCGTTGAAGTTTCATATCAAGGAACATGAATCTTATGTCAGAAAAGGCGAAATCAACAAGTCTTCAATAGCGAATCATAGTTGGACATTTAACCATAATTTTGACTTTTAACCATTTTGGGACATTTAACCATTTTGGGTCTGCAAAAATTATTCAAAAGGCTTCTTCCATAGGTGAATTGGATTTTCTTGAGGCTTTTCATATTCACAAAGATTTAGCATGTTTAGTTAATGATTTGAAGTCCAATCCAGTCCTTCCTAATGCCTTTAAAATTATACTATCTTAATTCAGTTATTTTTGCCAATAGATGCCGTTACCTCGTCGCGTTTGGTACTACCAGAAAGTATAAAAATCCGTTCAGTGGTTTCTTTCCATTATTCGAAGTTCAGATTTTGAGCGTGAAGGTGGATTTGCCCCTCGCTCCCTATTTTTGACTTCACTAATTTTTCTTGTCCTTTGTGTTATATGTTTGATCAGGTAGCCTGGCTCAGTAAAAGTAGGCGGCCAGTGTAACTCTGGTTAAAAATCCGTTTATAACCATGTGCAGTGCTGATAAGGACCACGTGTTTCTGAGACTCCTTCCCCTTTATTTTTCTTTCTTTCTAGGTATTTCTTTCTCCTGATGAAGAAGAACCTTTAGCTGCCCTCGAAATCGATTGAGTGTTTCAATATTCTTACGCTAAATACAAGGTTGTTTTTATGATTTTGATTGTCACATTAGCGTGTTTCTCTTATTATCTAACATATATAGAGTACAACATTTTCAGCTTTAAACAAATTTAAAATAAAGTATTCTATTCATTACAATACATAATATATTATAAATAAAGAGACTGAAATGTGCTGTACACCAGAGTGTACTCTCATTCATGTCTCTATATGGGTTTTTGTCATTTTAACTTATTAATCCACAAAAAAGGGGCGATGAGAAAGGATGAAATGCCCTCCTTGTAATGTGCTGTTTTGAAGGATAGTAGGGAAAAAAAAAAAAAAAAAAGAGTTATTTATTTTTCTAGTACTAATAGTATACTATTCACTTAATATCACTATTCTTAATTTGAAGGATACCTTTTATTGGTATACATAAGACCTTTAAAAAGAGGAGAGCTAAGATAGCACATTACTAATGGAAGTAAAATGAATGGTAGAAGGAAGAGTGGAAGAAAATATAAAAGATGAAATATGGGTACACAAATGAAAATCAGTCAAATACTATCTGAGAACTTACAGTTTGGATTTCCTACCAATATGTTTACAAACATCAATTTGGAGTGTGAATGTTTGAATGTATGTTCTCCTATGAGCATTTCTCTTCCTGTTATTTAGTTACATCAGCTAAAAATAAGCATGCAGATGTGTACAAAAACAGCATTGAGTACATTTGAGCTGCCATATTTTGGCTGTGTTACAGATCATTGCCACTTCAGTTTCATTTCAACGCCTCAGCAATTTTGTTTTCTTGTACTCCTCTTCCCACTGCCACCCTGAACCAGTAAACAGAGTGATACTATAGTTGCATTTTAAAATTTGTACATTTAAAACAGTGCTATTTGCTGCACATAATTAAATTCATTGAGATTTTACATATGTTTTGATTAACCCATTATTTCGGGTATTTAAAAACCTGAAATTAATGCATAATAAATTGATTTTGAATTTCTATTGTATGATGACTTAAATCAAGGATTTTCTGTTAAGAAATAAAATGATTAAATTTAAATAATTGTGCTTTTTTATATTTTTTAAAAAATTATTTAATAATGCATATAAATTATTAAAAATCAGAATGTGAAATAATTTTGCTTTTATATGATTTTAATTTTTTGTTTCTGTTAATTTGTTCATACTACTGATTAAATCTCTGTTGTTAATCCTTGTCTTCCATTTGCAATTATAATGTATATTAACTTGTAATACTTTTTGTTAATATTTTCCCTATTTTATGTTCTTAGAACTGTCTCACTTTTTCAGGCATTAGCAATCAAGAAGAAAAAAATAAACAACTTTTACAGTTGTTTGAAGAACTTCCAGAAATTAATCAAGGAATTATTACTTTCTTGTTAGATCACCTTGTTAGGTAAGCATATCTGAAACTGGACCAAAAAGTAACCATAGATTACCATAGATTTTGAATAAATAATTGCTTTTGATTTCTAAAAATGTGATGGAAATTCTTTTAAGATTATTAAATTTAAAATAAGCCTGGTGGCGCAGTGGCTAGCGTGTTGTGCAGCAGCACACAAATCTGGGGTTAGATATCCAGGCTGGCAAGGTTGATTCAGCCTTTCATCCCTTGAGTGGGTTGATAAAATGTGTACCAAGTTCCTTGGGGACTAAACAACGGGGATCCTGTGACAAGCTGACCACTTGTTCAGGGCATATGCTAATGCACCCCAAGACCCACGGTTTAGAAAGCAGATTTCGGGCACTGCATGCCTTGGCCCACTAGGGTTGTTGCACCACTGAGTTTAGTTTATTAAATTTAAAATATTAATTAAGGTAGAAAATTGTTATACAGAACTAAAAGGCTTCAAAGAAAAATTATCGCTTTTATAACAATTCATTAGTTTTATACGCCATATCCATAGAAGTCTTTATGTGACGTTTATTTTCGATACAATTGGTGATAGACATAAACTTTGATTTATAAAAAATGCTTTAATTAAGCAAAATATTTATGTTATGGCACTTTTTAATTAAAAAAATCAATTTTGTAAAAAATTGCAAAATCTGTTGCATTAAGTTTACATTCATTCTAAATAATAAAAAACTAAAGTTGACCTTTTCATTTTTCATTTTCTATTATAGTGAATTTCATGTTTCAACAGTGTATTAATTCATTTTAATTTATGATTTATTTTGTTACTTGTATTTCAGAATCCACCAAAGTGAAGCTACAAATAAGATGTCTTTGCACAATTTGGCTACTGTGTTTGGACCAACACTTTTGAGGCCTGGAAGTCGGAGCTCCAGTTCTTCACCTTCAGATCTCTTGACTGCTGGTACTGTGGATGTGATGGCTCAGGCTGGAATTTTTTATTTCTTTCTAAAGCGGCATGCCGCTGGATTGCAGCTCAAAGCAGATTCGCAAGAATAAAAGTCTAGCCTTTGATACATTATTTATATACACACACATATTATCATTAGGTTTTTCAATTTGAACTTATTTTTGTATTATATATTCATTTTTAGAACAACTTTATATTGTCTAATATTATATTACTTGTGTTCTACCTTGCAAACTTACATAAAAAATAAATGCATATACTTTAATATTAAGGGCTCACAGAAGTAAGCTACAAACAGTACAAAGATACTCTTTATCATTGTGGTACTCTTTTAAAGATCACAAAATATTACAGTACTGTTTTAAGGGTTGTGTTTTTTGATAAACTATGGTGTTTATCAAAATGTTGTTTTTGCATTTTAATTGAGAAGTATTTTATTTATTGTAAAGTTACAGGTAACATGTCTAATTTTACTGTAACTGACTGAAATGTTGCATAGCTAATATGAGCAGTGCTTTATGACATGAAACTATTTTAGAATGCATTAATCACAGTGGACTAAGCCATACCATTTTGCATTGAGTCCGAGTCTATCAGAAAATAAATCAATATTCTTTAAACGAACATTGTTAATATTTTTAGCTCCATCCATCCGCCTCCTTTCTTTTCAAAACTTGAAAAATACACCTTGCACAAAAAAAAGGGGATAGTTCTATATCTCTCGTTCTTCTGGATTGATTGTCGAAATTTAACTTATGTTTTTCATGTCTTGAAAACACGAAATAGGATATATATTAGTTTTGTATATAACATATATTGTTCTAATATAAGTATTTTGGCACAAAATCGGACTTTTTCTGAAATAGTATACCAATTTTTTCTCATATTTCGATTCTGTGATTCAAATTATGCCTAGATATTAAATTTTGTAATTTTTGGTAAGAAATTTAAAAATTTTTTCTTGGTGCACTTTTTTCAGTTTGCACCAAGAATAATTTACTTACTATAACTTAATTTATAGCAATCTATTTTCCTTTCCTTTTTCTCACTGTACACAAGCGGGGGAAAGGTCATCACTTATAACAAATACGCCAAGTTTCAAAACCTCGCCAGTATGTAAATTCACGTATATCTTAGGAAATTTTGAATCAAAAACTCTTAATTTTTTGCAGATATGCTTAAAAAAAAAATCTTCTTTAAGATGATGGTAAAAGTTTTATAGGTTATAATTCAAAATTTTTTCTGAAAATTTTATAAAAATTATTTTAAAATAAATAAAAATTGGGTGAATTTTATTTGGAATAGACATCAATTTCAAAATGTGAAAGTAAGAACCAAATATGTTTAAGGAACAAAAACAGATATTAATAAATATCCAAATTAAATTAGCATGGAGGAGCTAACATTTTGAGAGCTTAAGTTTTTAAAAACTACTCCTGTGATTTTTACAAAACTTGGCACTTTTGCATAATTTGAGTCATAGAATCGAAAATGAAAAAAAAATTGGTATGTTATGTCAGACAAAGTCCGATTTTGTGTCAAAATATCTGTGTTAGAACAATGCTATACATAAATCTAATATATATCTAAGTCCTGCTTTCGAGATATGATAAACGCAAGTTAAATTTTGACAATCGGTTCTGTAGAACGAGATATACAGAACTGTCCCCCCTTTTTTTGTATACATTTATTTAGGTTTATATTATTTTTTAATGTGCTTTTAAATTAAACAACAAAAAGTTCATGGATAAATATCAAAACTTTAATAAAAGTAGTTTTTTTGATAAAATAAAATGAAATATTTAGCAGATAAATATAAAGCTTCCTAAAACTATGGAACTCCTACAGTTGAGAACCCCTTCTCTAATACATTCCTCAAATACCACCATAAATCTAAAAGCATCTTCCTATAATCCAAATTATATTCTGAAAAAAGTATGCCATTAGAAGGGGACATCTTGAACTATTTATGTTATGTCAGTACTGTTAATAAATTATAATAATATAAGATAATTATATAATTTTCCATATAATCACATATTTGACATATAATTTAACAATATAATGTCCTTAAATAACTACACTTGAGTGTTTTCTTATTGTAATTCACTTCTTTGTATTTAGCACTGATTTAAAATTAATGTCTTTGATAAAATTAAATGTTAACTAAAATAATTATTCTGATAAAAAATACGAGTAACAAATGTTATAGCTTGTTTTTTGTTTAAATATATTAGGTTATTCACAATTCAGAAATACAATGTTAATCATAGATGTAAGAAACATATAAAATATTTTAAATGGTAAGTTCTGCTCCTTAAATTGTTCTCACTATATAAATGGCATTTTGATATTCCACTGAATTGCATGGTTAGTCTTATTATATTGGAAAATAATACAAGTAAAATGTTTTCTGGCACAAAAATATAAATTTAATAATAGAAACAAAAATTTTAGTGTTTAAAGAGTTCAAAAAGGGGGGATGTATGATAATACAACAAGAAAAATAAGAAAACTGCATTCATGTATAGCATATCATTTTCCTACTTCATTCATTAAGTGCACTTTTAATATCAGAAATTAAATCTTGAATAGAATGGAACTACTGTTACAAATGTGGCAGAGAATCAAAACATAATGCACACTATTTTTCTTTCCTTGAAGTTCAAGAGATAGATAAAACAAAACATATATATTGTGGAATTACTTGTTTTAGTTGTAAAACAAAACATATACATTGTGGAATTACTTGTTTTTCAATGAAAGAATTCATATGTGCAGGACATTTTTTCTACCATTATGAACAAGTAACCTATTTCGATACACCTTGTTCATAAAATTCCATTTTGAGGACATGTTTTTGATATGTGGATTATCAATTGGAATCTTCAGCCAAATTAAAGAATGAAATTATGCTAATGTTGCTGCATTTCTAGCTATTACCATACACGTTTATCATTTCATTTTAAATTTCAGGTAATGTTTCCTAAGTTTTTTAGGAAACAGACTGCAGATTATTCCTGTTTAATTGTAAATGGCATTAACCAAAGCCAGATTAAGGAAATATCGGAAGCTTGGCACACCATTCATTGGGACCTCCAATTCTGATTTTTCTTCTTTTCATGAGAACAAAATTGTATTATGATATGAGAGCACCTTAAAATCTAAAGGTCCTGTGGCCTCTTCATTTAGACTTAATTGGTAATCAGACTTATGTGGACTATGTATAACATTTGTCAGTCATATGTATGCAGTTTTGAATGGCTAAATTATTTGATTTCTCATTTTCAGTGTTTTTTGAAAGAATATTTAAGAGAGAGAGAGAGATTTGAAAAGGTTGCATTTATTTTATAAAAGTAGATTTTGAAAAAAAAAAAATTGCATTGCATTTATAAAAAGTAGACTTTTACATGCTATTAGTGCAGAATGGAAAAGATATTTTTATAGGAAAAGAACTAGGATTATGTTATTGCCATAATTGAAGGGTTTTTATAAATGTAATGTAGTATACATGTGTACATTAACTTCATATTTTTAAATTTTTTGTGTAATTAACCGAGTTTCTAGAATGTGATGTTTAGTTGGTCTATGTTATGTCTTTTATATGTTGAAACAGGTGCTATAAAATAACTCATTGTCAGTGGGCATATTGTCAAAAATCCAGAGTTAGAATCAGTAATATGGCTGGAAATAAAAGGGTGCAATATTTTTTAATTTTTCCAAGTGACAACTACCTGTTGTATGTTAACTGAAAAAATTTCACTTTAATTAGTTATGCTTCTTGTGTTAAATTGTGTGGTGTCATTTCAAACATTTTACATGCAAATAAAATAAAACTAAAAGAGCTTTTTTAGAAATTATTTTCATGTGAAATTGAATCTGAAAAATATTAGCTTAGAATAATTAGCTGTATATATATATATATATATATATATATATTTATATGTTGCATAATCAAAAGAAATATTTTTGAAAATTCAGTGAAGCAAAATTAGGAACAAATATGAAATTACATAATCATTTGGTTTTATGTACTTAAGATTCCGAGCAGTATATCTTTATATCATCCCTAAATTTTTATAAATGTGAATAATGAAAAAATTTGTTCCTTTGGTAAAATGGAAGTGTCTGTTTTATGAATTCACACATTTAAAAAAAAGAAAAAAAAAAACATAGGAAATGGAATAAAAGTTGAAGAGACTTTTTTTAAAGGGAGAGGGGATTTATAAATTCCGTTATTACAGTTTTTATAAAATCAAAAGTAAGCTGTCATGCAATAGATTTCCTCCATAAAATTTGTTCTTTCTTCGGATTTTCATATTGTGTGGTTTTATATTTTTACTTTCCAAGCCCCCCCCCTTCAAAAAAAAAATTAACATTTCCCTTTTTTTTTTTTTTTCTTTTCTCCCCAGCAACATCCCAAAAATACTAATTTTTGTTGCCAAAAGACTGGCTTGGAAATATGTTGCAACTTAAAATTACTGTAACTCTAGTTAAAATAGTATTTACTCAAAGATTTACTGGAGTTTTGTGTAAAATATTTTTAAAACTTTATTAAAATTTTTTAATAATATGTTACCTTTCCTGAAATTAGGATATTGCAACAAAAATACAAATAAAAACTTTGCATCAGAATTAAAAAATAATTAAATATACAGATGATAAGAGTATTTGAGATCATGAGACAAAAGTGGTATGTACAGTTGTACATGTCAATACAAAAAAGAAGGGAAAAAAAAGAATTTTTTTAATCAAAATTCAACATTATCAAAAGATAATTTTGTTGTATTTAATTTTTTACAAATTTAATAATTATTTCTTCTATCAATTTTTTCTATTAGTGAAGTGGAAAATCTTAACTTCCCCCTTCAAGCTTTGAAACAATTTATATTTAAATAAACATTGCTTATGAATATAAATAAAAGTTTTGATGTTGATATTAAACTAAAAGATCATTATTTAAAAATTAAATGAATTGTTTAATGTATATGGAATCATTTTTAATGAGCATCAATACTGCTGTCACAAAGGTATGTAGTAGCAATATTAAAGAACTAAATAAATCAGTGTTTTAAATGTCAATTATATGGCATGTGTTATTAAAATATATTTATAAAAGTTAACAAGGATAAGTAGAAACTGTTCATAAATGTGTAATGTTAAGTATGTTTATTTTAATGTGCATTTCTTCTTTAATCTCTTATTAATTAAGGGAATAGTTATTTTGATTAATTAACTAACATGTGCTTCTAGAAATGCTTGTATCTACTTAATACTAGGCAAGTGTCTTAGTAAACATGAGTTTTTATAATTAAGATGTTTATAAACTTCCAGAGTATGTATTTTGCTCATGAATATTGCATTTATATAAGAGTGCCATTAAATGTTTGCTATACCCGTCTTATATATTTGTATGAACATTTGTATGTATTAATATAAATTTGTATCATTTTTTGTAATTTTAATATTCTTTGTTCTCCATCAATGCACATTTTCACAAGAACTTGCTTCACTGTTTTCAACTCAGTTTTTTTTTAATCTGTTTCTTGTGTGCCACATTGTTAAAAGCTATTTTTATTAATCACTTAAATAATTATAATCATAATTAAATAAAATTAAAAATATTTTTTAATTGTATCATACATAAAAATGCTACCAAGCTCTAACAAATTATTTCTTCATTATAATTTATCTAGAATTTAAAAGCATTTTATTTTGTAATCTGCAAGTAATCAAAGTTTGTAAGATGATAACTCAAGACCATATGAAAAGTGTGAAATTCAAATCCCACGTCTTATAAATTAATTTAATTATCTTACAGTCTTATAATCTATAAAATATTAAATCTATTATATCAAATCTTATAATTTATATTACCTTACAAATCCTACGTCATAAAAAAAAAAAAAGTCCCTTTTACGTCAGGACAAATTACAGTAGAGGTAAAACATGATATGTTCAAGGATTCCAAATCTTCCTATAGTATTTAAAAAATATAAAATTTTATGTATTTTTTCAGTTCTAGATTTTAAATATATAGAATGAGAAACAGAAATAAAAATGCAAAAACAAAAAAGACAGAGGAGTTTTATCCAAAATTAATTTGCCAAATTTGTAAATAGTCAAAACAAATACCATGAATTTCTAATACAAGATCAGAGGAGTATGCTGAATTACAAATCCTTTATTATATTGTTTTCATTAAAAATATACAAATATATTGCAGATTTCAAACCTTTTTTTAAAATTAATTTTGATGAATAATATTCAATAAGTTTCTGACTAGGTTATGATTTTTAATTGAAACTTTGTGCATTGTACAAATTTAGTACTGGGGATTTAAAAATTACACTGAATTAAAGAATATTTCTTGAAATGAAATTTATGCAAGCAGAATATTAAATCAAGTCAATAACTAATATTTTTAAAGAAGCTTGACAGCAATTTATTTTGCTGAATACTTTTTTACTACCGTAAAATTGCTATATTTAATTAAATTTTTTAATTTCGTAAGTCTTGACATTTTATCTAGTAGAAAGTTGGCCATGCCAACTTTTACAGTAATCTACATAAAATTAATACCATATTTACCCAGTTATTCCTCCTCTTTTCTTACTCACCCCTTGAAAATCGGGAGACGCACTAGTATTACAGTCAAAAGTCGTTAATCCGGACTCGTCGAGACTTCAGCGATTCCGGATTATCGATTTTTCCAGATTATAGATCATCAGTTTAAATCTGGTAAGATGGCATGCAGAAATTACAAAATTAAAAATATGAAACCGTAATTTATGAAATAAAGAACAATTATGATCTAAAGGGTATCAAAATTTACAAAAAGAAAAAGCTTAATATTTATTTGTTTACTTTATTAAACATTTCTTTCAATGTAAGTTGTTTAATCGCTTGCCTGATTATCCCAAGTTATCTCAGGTTCGTATATATTGCAGTTAATTATTATCCCGAGAAAACTCAGGCAGAGCAGAATTTGTTAGTACGATTTCTTTTATCACGGTTTTACTCGGTCTGGAGGAAATGAAAGGAAATATTTAGCTTTGATTGGCAGTTTGCCAAATTTTGTTGGTTGCATGGTTCTTTTGGAGGGACTGGTCACGTGTTTCCCTATTCTATGGTATACATTGGCTTGTGGGTTAGTAATGTATAAAGAAAGATGCGTGCGTTGGAAAAAAATAAAATAATGGCGATGATGGAAGATAGTGAATATGAAAAGGTTGGGAAAAAAATCAAAAAAAAAATAAATAAATAAAATAAAATCCAACGAGACAGTGTACTCTGTGCTCCCGTAAAAGAGATTCCAGCGATAAGCCAGTAAGAAAAGAGACCAGATACAAATGTAGAACGTCAGGTACCACTCTGTGCTGTCCCTTGTTTCAAAAACTATCATACAAAGATTAATATTTAACTTTTTTTCGTTTGCCCGAGATAACTCAGGATAGTAAACTAATATTAAAAATAAATGCTTTTACACCTTCAAAAAATTAAAAATTCAACTTAAAACCTACATATTTTGATTTGTTTCGTTTTGTTATATTTATTAGTAAAATAAAAAAATGTGATGATTTTTTGCAATTTTTTTCAAAATAATTTGTAAGGGAAGCGGTTAAGTTGCTTTGTTTCATGTGATAATACTTTCTCTTTAATTCTATTAAACAGACATAATTTCTTGTTTAGTTACAAAGTTCCGCTGTTCAAATCCTATAATTGCTGTGTTGAGAATACCGACTAATTTGTCAATCGAAATGTTTTCGTTTTCAATAACCTCTCTGTTACTTTCTTCACTATCGGAAGCAAATTATAATGATGAGGAACTTGATTTAAATCACATCAAAGACGGAGTATATCGAGATGAAATACTACATTTAGAAAGGAATTATAAGACGAATAAAATAAAAATATCTCCCCTGAAGATAGGGATAGTGCTGACAGATCAACTTCCAATTCATTGCGCTGCGTTTCCCCCACCCCACACCGCCACAGAGCAGCGTGAAATTGATAAACAGATTTCGGATTTCATAACATACTTGCGCTCTGTAAATCCTTTACAGATTAGTAAATATATATCGGAAATTCTATTTGACATAATCGAAAGTTCAAGCTTACTTTTATAAAATTGCTCTAACAGTCTGTAAAAAATAATAAGCTGGATCCAATTTAAAGATTAAAAAACAACAATCTGCAACATTAACTGAATTAGATAATTTTAGCTTAGCTTACACCATCCGTTATACATTAAATGTGCATGCATGCGCACATGCATATTCGCAGCCGTAAAGGTCTTACGCGCAAGCGTAAACGCCTATGCGCAGAAAGTTTTTAGCTTTGAGGTCCGGATTATAGATCATTCTGGATTATGGGTGTCCGAATTACTGACTTTTGACTGTATTATAATATGTATTTCAAAGGATGTATATGTCAATGATATACTTGCAGAAAATAATCTTCTGTTTGTGCATATGTTACCAGAAATCAAAAGTTTCTAAATCATATGCTGTAGAAAACTAGAGTGGGAAATTTAAGTAAATAAGGTAATTAGCATGTGTATATGTTGAGAATGTTATTTACACGCATCCAAACACTTTTATACATGGTTTAACAAATTTAAGTATCAATTCCTTCTGACAACTTTCCCCCCCCCAAAGGGGTGACCTCTGTATTTAAAAGAGATTATTGTAAATTAAGATTGGACTTTCCGTATTAGACAGGAACTTTTACATAAAAATTTAACAATGTGACATCTCAAGCATTTAAGAGACCGTGAAGACCTAAATGCAATCTTTTATATTTTGCAAAATAAGCACTGTGTTTTCATAACCATCTTGCAGAATCTTTTATCATTTTTTAAGCTTTGTACATTTTGATTGTAATATTTAATTTCCAGTATAAAATTAGAAGAGTTACATTTTGTAAACATTATAAAGTAGATTTGTATATATATTTAACTGACCTAGATTAGGTTACAGGGTCCACATACCTTTATAAAATAAACTAATTTAATAAAATTTGTTTTATAATTATGTTTGTGTTTTTTTTATTATTGTGTGGAATTAATGTAGGAGACAGAAGCAATAATATATTATTGAACAAATAAATTTAAATTTATTTTTATTCTATCAGTTATAAATCAGAAATGTAATGGTTAAAATATCTTGATATTTTGTTATATTTTATCTTATTTTTGACTACCTAATACATTCATATTGATGTAATCCAGATATAAGCTCCGTTATTTATTTAGCATTTAAATGGATGATATATGGTCCTTTGTTTTTTACTTAATAACTATCTCAACAATAAAATAATCTCTATATAAAATTTTGCTTTAACCAGTTTAGATAGTTGCTGCGAGTGTAGAAAGAAACTGTGTCCACAATTATGATGATCCCTTATGTCACAAGAGCATGCGTGGGTAAATGTGATAATTCATTATTGTAAAACCAATAAGAATTACAGCAATGGTGGTGCTGTCAAAAACAGCTTCCTATAGGTTCTCCAGACATGGCAATTGCGTTGGGATCAGCACTTACATTGCAATACAGACTTCAAGGTAGATAGCACTTGGTATATATATATATATATATTTGTGTTTGGATTTTTTGATGTATTGGATTATATAAAAGGTAAGCACGAAAGGATTACATTTAAAATTACATTTAAAAGGAAAAGAAAGAAATCCCCCCTCCCCGTGATGATGTTTTGTTTTCCATGTTAAATATTCTTATAATATTATAATCGTCATATAATATTAGTAAAATTCAAGCTAACACACACACTTCTCTTAAGATGTTAACTAGTAATTGTAAATTCACAGTAAAGAATTATATTATTAAAATAATTATAAATAAATTCAAAAACATTCTAATAAATTTTATTATAAGCCAGCATTGTCCATGCACATAAATGGGTGAAAATTATAAAAATAATTATATGTACAAATCAGGAACTGATTAAAAATACTTTGGAAGGAAAAGTATCCATTGAGCAATGAAATTGCATAAATGTGTTGTTCTTGTGACATTTTTCACATTGTAAATTCCTAATGCAATACAAAAATTCAGTCATTAACCAGCATTTAGATAAAAATATCATGCCTTTAAAAATATACATTTCAGAGCATTTATTATAAAAAAAAATTATTTTAACCACAATTTTTGGTTGATAAAAATATATAATAAAGTTGTTCTATACAATAAATATTAATAAAGCTGCCTGTATCATTGCTTTTTAAGGCTGAAGAACTTTCAGTTAAGTAATGCAGCAAATCACTTTTCTAGTTTTCTATATAGAAATGACTTTACATTAAAAAAATTTAAGGATTTATAGCACAAAAAAATGCAGTTAAATATACCTGTACTTACATTTTCAGTATCATAATTTATTTTTGTTATAAAACAACAACATTTCTTATATCAATTTCATATGCAACAAATCACTTCTCACAATATCACAAGTTTAAACTTAGCTCAATTAATCCATTTATGTATTATAGGTTTGAACTTCCACAGATCAGGATGGCCATCATGCTTCACCACTTTGTCAAAATCTGATTTGCTCCACTGAAATGGTGGTAAGGGATCGTATGTGGGGCCTCCAAATGCCACAAATTCCATATTTTGAAACAGATCAAATGTTGTTAACTTGAAAAAAATACAATTAATTAATTTAAAAACTTATGAGCATAAATGAAATCACTAAAAACAACACTGTATGGTTACATACTTTTATGAACTTCAAAATATCTCAAAACATGCAGTAAAAAATATTCCTGGAAGTACAGTATGTTTTTAATATTAAAAAGGGATAAATATTACCCTTTTATTACCTTACATTATGCTACCAAAGAATTTGTTAATTATTGAAGCCAGGCAAGCTGCTAGTTCTCGTAAGTGCTGTTATTTGACATGCCATAACATTTGCTTAATTTATTAAGTGATTTTAAAGCAATATTTTGTGCTTCATAATATATATACAAGATGTATGGTAAAAAAATTATAAAAAAGAACACCACCTACATCCAAAATTAATGTCCTTGTGGGCTTGGTTTACGCTGCTGGAAGAACTCAGATAATTTTGTTTCCCAGAAAAACTACAGCAGAGTGCCAATGCACACTCTTAGAGGAAAAAAGGGTGAGGACTATGGTTGTCAGCATTTGAGTAGGGAAGGCCGTGTATGTTCAAGGTTGCATTGGGACAGAATATGGTACAGCTGTTCCCACTCACAATAAAACTCAGGCTAATAGGAAGAGCTGAATGAAAATGAAAAAAGCCACTGAAACTATATATCACCCAAGTTAACATCAATTCTGTAGAATCAATTTGTTTAGGAATTCTGAAGAAACCCATTCGTAGGGCAGCAAGACAGCTGCACACCCCAAAATCCACAGTTCATGGCATCACACAAAATGCTTGTAACTGTGGTAACTCTTAAACTTCAGAAGCTTCATGCTCTTCAACCTAATGATTGCGACCATCAGAAACAGTTAGCAGGGCTTATATTCAAGCATTCTGATAATGATATACCTGATGAAGATAACCTTTATAGATAAGACCATATTTTATGTCTCTAGTCATATGAAAATTTGAAGTCTGGGGGGAATGATAACCTGCATGTCATCATTTAAGTTCCAATGTGGCTGCTTGATAAAGACTAGTGTAATTGAAACATTCTTCATTATGGAATCTATGGTGATCTTAATCACATATCTAGATATGCTGGAAATTTATGCCATTCTACAACTGCCATTGGAGAACCAACAGGATGGTGTCCCTGCACATTATAGCAGGATAATACACTCTTTCTTGGATGACACTGCTTGATAGCCAGATTGGAAGATGCCATGGGAGCTGCATTCGCTGAACTTAGCCTTTTGATTTTTTTTCTCTGGGGGGGGGGAGATTTTTAAAGGAGGTAGCTGATAATTTTTATAAATATTTACGTTATTATTCCAGTTAATGATTTGGTTTATTTGATTATGGCAAAGTCGGATGGCTCGTATACACATTACATATGGGGAAAACGACCACGCAGCCAGCCTGTTTGTGGGATTCGAACTACCAGAGTTCAGTGACTTGACTGCTTCGCTGTTGGTGGGCTTCAATTAACAAAGGATTTTTTTAACACCATATATTTCATATCTAGCTAGAGAATAATCGTTTGAAGTTTGTAACCCAGTTAAAATTTTTATTCAGTCTTTCACTTCATTTGTACATCAAAAATATTTTTTATATATATAATGTAATTTGAAGAATCTAACATCATTCTGCCAATGAATTTCACACTTATTACATATAGTTCTATTTCAGGATGAAAATGACAGAAGTACATAAAAATTATCTTGAAAATTGCCTTTTGTGATGAATATTGAATGATTTGCATACATTTATTACTACAGAATGATCCTGGTCTTGCTGTGTGTAAAAACTTTTTTGTACATTCAATGCAAATTCTTTTATGTTTTCATAAATGAATATTAGCAACTTTTTCATTATAATTTTTTTTTTTTTTTTTTTTTTTTTTTTTTTTTAGAAGATAGACAAGAAATAAATGAATGCTGTTTTGTCTGGAATCTATAGCTTAAAAATTGCAACTAACCTCCCAATATATAACAAATGCTAATATTTAAAATTAACAACCTACCTCCCCAAATGAAAGTGTATAATATAAATATTTTTAATTATTTTCGATTCCTTTTGATTCTAGAAACTTAAAACTTTAAATTTCAGAGTTTAGCTGCTTAATCTTTACTTCTTGCATAAATCCTTGATTATGTTGCACTTGTTTTCTTTCTAGAAATTTATATACTATGTAACTAACTCACTTGCCATTAAATTTGCTGCCTCCTAATTTCTAAGTAAAAGAAAATGAAATGTGCATGAAATGTAGATCATGTTGGGATATGCAGATGATTGGTTTTTCATGACAAGAGTAATGATACTCTCCAAGCAGTGCATTGTATTTGGTTATTCATTTTTAAAATTTTTGTTGAGCATTTATAATGCTCAACATGGCACATGAATATATCAACAATATGATAGCCGTATGCATGTGTGAAGGATCAAGAGATGTGAATGCTAGAAGCTTGCATTCTTCCTCCATACTACCCCAACACCTGGACTTTTAAATACTTATGGAATACCATTGAGTACAAATCGCATCCACATCTAATTTGCATATCTGGTACTTCGAGCAGCCTGAAGCTTTAATACCTGTAGCTATGCCATATCACCTTACTTCACCTTATCATTATCACCTTACTGTCATCTTACTTTTCAGCAGGACAATACAGTGTTGCTCCCAATACCCTACTTTTCCTTAGTAAACAAAATATTTGACTGTTACTTTTGCCAGTATGTTTTTCAGATTTCTGACAGTATATTCATCTATTGTACTGGCATGAACAATACCTGCCAACCATGTTTTCCCGATTTCTAACAGTACATTCATCCATCGAACTGACACGAAGAATACCTGCCAACCATGATTCCAGATTTCTGACAGTACATTCATATATTGTATTGGTATGAACAATACCTGCTAACCAGTATTTATTACTCTGGCATATTATTTAAACTCCAAGGACTGAAAGATTACTATGTGCGTCTGGCTTTGTTACTAGCCATATAGCAGCTATTATTGTTACCAGAAGCAGATGCTGAGGGTACTGACTTCTGCACATCCTGTACCTCATATCTACCCTAAAGTTTTTAATCATTTTATCTTACCATGAAAATGCATTTGTAAAATAAATATGAATCTTCAAACTGCAATCCTTCTTGATATAGCAATTTTAATGGCTTCAGTATACTTCACATGACTCTAACATTCAGCCAGTTCTCTGCTTAATCCTCTGAATAAAAAATATATAACTTTGCTTGCTCCTATATTTTAATTATACAAGGCAAAAGCTCATCTATAATAACTGTGTGAACAATCAAAAAATCTGATGTGTACACTACATGACTTCCTTGCACGGAATATTAAATTATATGCATTTTTTCTTGCATTTCAATTAAATTTATTGGATCTTAAATCTACTTCGTTGATAGCACATAAACCACAATAGAATAAATGCACTCTTTAAAAGTCACTATATTTGTTTACCACAGCAACACTCTGGCTGTGGTTTAATTAACGGCGTTATATTTCATTCATATTATAACTCAGAATGCACAAAATTTATATCATTTGAAGAATTATCTAATCGTTGCTCCATGTTCTATTCAAATACAATAATAAATCTAAAACAATGTATAAAAGAAATTAAGCAAATAAAAAAAAAAAAAATTCACAGACGATTCAGTATTTCTCATTCAATTAGTTCAGTTCTCATTTTGTGACAAGGCAAAAATACACAAAAACTCATATCTAAATCTTAAACACTTATTTCCTTGAACAAATTCTAGAATGGATTGAGTATGATTTAATTCGCAATAACAAAAGAAGGTGTTATCTTTGTTGCTGCGAAGCTTAGTTTCTCTAGATTGGCAACAAATCCACTATACTGCTAAGTTTCAAATGCAAATAAACACGAGGACCATGGGAAAAATAATTAGGCTTAGCTGCACTTAAACAACTTTTAAATTGTTGATAATTCTACAAATATTGCATGCAGATATTTACTAAAAGCATTAAAACCTTAACCGGAAGATAAGAACAACATAATTCAATCATTTTTAAAGCAAAAAATGTACAATTTACAAACATATAAGAATAAATAAACCGAGATCACTGAGCCGAGTAACAGAGTGGATATATATATTGTTAGGAAATGCACAGGCACGATAAGATGGTTTCCTCGCAAAGCAGTTTTAGGGTTGCCATAAAACAGCAGAAAAGGCAGGGTGCCACATTTGGCGACGTGCCATGGATGGATGAAGAACCTTCTGGAACGAATACTTACCGGTTTAGCCCAGAATGCTCTCGAACACAAGCCAAAAGCTATATAAACCCTGCTGGTCTGCAGTGTGTGTGTGTGTCTCTCACATCTAGTTAGTCCGTCCAGAGACGATCGAGTTGACAGCCGGCCAGCGAGTGCACTGAAAGAGTCTTAGTGCATCGTTGAGAGAGTGTGTCAAGAGCCGGAAACAACTGAAAGAGTTGGGAGCTGTGCTCTGTGTGTCATCGAGTGCATCACGAGTTGTAGCGTGGAGAGTCTCGAGAGTACGTGGAGTTCCAAAAACGACCAAGTAGAGTCAGGTGCTTTGCAGTGAAGCTGTCTTCACCTGCCTGACATAAAAAAAAGCTGTGTCGCTGAATGTGTCAGCGTGTTTATAATAATTCGATGACTGTAAATGTGATTTTGGAGCTGTCCTGATTAATATTGGCTAAATAAAGAGTGTTACGATATTCCATCAAGTGCTGTCATCGTTATTCACTGCAAATCCATAGGAACATGAAGGAAGAAAATAATGTAACAACTGGTGTCAGAAAAGAAAAGCGTAACAATATATGCCTATATTTATATACTTTTGGAGTGGTCGATTGAAACCAAAATATGAGACACATGTCTACATGTTATAGCAGTCCTATGAACAAAATATACTCATTTTTGAGTTATACGAGATATGTCTATATGCACAAACGCCACAAAAAATTAGCTTCAGAATTCATCTTAAATCAGTTTTATATTTTTTTGGGGGGAAAAGAGTCCTTTATTCTGTTCTTACGTACAGATGTCATGCAAAAACATTGTTAAATTGCATTTGATAGCAGTGAAAATGGGTATTTTATTTTCATTGAAATATGATGCCTGAAATTTTTGGCGGTTACAATACTTCCTTTTTACTTTGTACAAGAAAGTAAAAAGGCAATTCCATAGCTGAAATCACACTTAGTTTTTATAACAGCAATACTATTATGTAATAGTACAACACAACATTTATAACACTGGTTTAATTTTGGTACCTAATACTTCATTTTTTTCCTCTTAAATGTTAAATTAATAATAAATTTGAGTAACTGTTTTAGTTCTACGATCACACTTTTTCATATTTAATTTATTTCTTATTCACAATAACAAAGATATACTATTATACAAAATAATATAAATACTTCTTCAATTTGTACATGTTTTAAAAATAATTTTGGTTTTGCAACCTTCATATCAAATTTGTTTTAATGGACATTAGACTGTTTACCTTCATATCTGTACCTCCATGCTGTCTGTGGCCTAAAGCAGCAAATGGATAAGTTCCATTAATGGGATTGAGATCACAGCGAGCAGAAATGGCATTTTCTGCACTATAAGGAGGTGTACAGTTGCAACGAGATAAAGGATCATTTGTATAATCATTGTATCTGTAATGTAAACCACATATTTGAAATTTTCATTAAATAAACTAACTACAAATAATAATCATTTTCTCACTGTTGTGCAGTGTCATTCATGCATACATAAAAAGTAGAATTCATATAGAGAATTTCTTCCTAAAAAGTTAAACTACATCTCAGATACATTTAATATGGTAAAATTTGGAGATTTTGAGAAGTAATGGATGATTTGAAGCACAGATGAGTATTGCTTAAAACAGAACTGACATTACTAGACATATAGGTGATCAATTAACACTTTCTCATAGTATTATGATACTTGATATGTCTAATTAACACTCCAAACATTGTCGCAGAGCCATTACCCACCTTGGAAAGAACCTCTTTGGCAGGATGGACTTATAGCTTCACATTATCAGTATCTCCTATTAGTGTTTGTAAGAAATATCAGATCATACAACTTTGCTCTACTTCATGGAGGTTCAGTTTTGCTGTTTACAGAATCAAGCAAACTGCATTGCTCAGTACGCACAAGTCAATAAGGACACCGCAGTAGAATGACGGTTTCTGTACTTAAGGTCTGTAGTATGAGCCATTCTGTAGCTAGCTGGCATGCCTTAGGATACTGATATTGAGTCTGAGTGTTATCTTTTGAGGTGTATATTATTTTCACAAACAGCTATTTTCATTTTTTAGCCTTTTCTGACATCTCTTGTTTCTCTCACATTTCCTCACCAAGATGAAAATGAGTTAAGGTGAATGAGAGTACATTCAAACTGAAGTAGCAATAAGGTTAGTCAATACGTGTTTTGCTACTGAGTGCACATGTTGTTTCTACCAGCTGTTTGAAATCTGAATTTCAGCTTTGCATTCTTACTGCCAAAGTTTAATATTGTGCCACAAGTGTAGGTTTCTGAGTCAGCCTGCTACACTATTAATCCAAAGGGGCAATTTTCCTTGAAGGACTATTAATTCCGTTTTGGCATTTTGCATTGGTTCACTATAAATGTCGATTCATTTTTCAGATTGTTTCCATCAAATCAAATATTATAGACTGCATATTTAAAGAAATTAAACAATGAAGAATCTCCATAAATATATGTATGTTTCTGGCATTGGGATAAAACATTACGTAGAGCCATCAAATTTTGAATAGTGAAATCTTCCATTAAATTTGGAATTTGAAATTTCTTTTATTATCGATTTCATATTTTGTAACACTTTAATGAATTTTTGATTAAAAAACTCAATGATTTTAAAGCAAGCAACGGCAACACCTTAGGGGGTCAAAACATTTTTATATCTCATGTGTGCGAGACTGTGTATCGTGGAAATTCTAAAGCTTTGCTCATTTAAAAATTATTTTGCAATACTGCTGTTGAATTGAATTTTATGGTTTAAGTGCAAAGAACGTGATATTTAATAAATAAAGGTAACACACAAAACATTAAAAAACGCCCGTTTGGGTGTAATGTACAATCTGAAAGCTTTCAGATTTTTTTTAAAATTAATTTGTGTAGTTTTGAACTACGAGCTCATCTTTTAATTTAGTTTATACTATTATCTTTAGTTTATTGCCACAAGTGGGTGGTGGATTTATAAGCATAAAGAATGTGCCGTCTATAAATAACTGAGTTCAATTAAAGGGTATTTTACATCCTTCCCAACTGCATTCATCTTCTAGTCTTAGCAATAAGTTGCTAGCAGACTTTCAAGTAAGTCTAGTAGCAGTTTATGCTAAGCCAAGGAAACTAGATCTTACATCTTCGCCACTGCTGCCCTTTGGTTATTTTATATTGCTTTGAACACCATATGCTGAGCCAGACATCAATGGCACTTTCATAATAGCCATTAGCTCACTGGAATGTCCACAAATAGTAGCTCTAAGACCAAAGCCAACTCAGAGGCTACAAATGGAGGCAATTTTGTAAAATCCCCATACGAAATCTTTCTGGAGAACATTTATTGGTTCATTACAGAAGTAGACTAAAATAGTATTATACTTGAAGTCAAATACTTGGCAAAAACATCAGCATTGGACCTGTATACAAAATTATGACTTTGAGGAAAGAATGTCAATTAAAAAGCTCCAACAAATCCACAAAAAATTTCTTAAATTCACTTACCGATCAAGCATTTTTATTAGCGAACCAAGAAGCTGTGCAAATCAACATGGTAAGCATAAACTGGGCATTTATTTCTACATGACTTGAAAAATAGAACAGCTTATGAATGAAAAATAACAAAAATGTGCAGCTTCCTTTTCAAAGCAAGTGAGCAGTGCATTGTAACAGTGAGCAGTGCATTGTAACAGTGAGCAGTGCATTGTAACAGTAAGCAGACATCAGTCTGATGTCAGTGCTGAAAAGAACACTACAGAAGTCTGTAACTTACAGAATTTTATATCTGGAATGAAGAAAAAAAAAGGGAGGGTAAAAAAATTGCCTTCTGCTTTCACACCCATGCTTCACAAAACACTTATCCTAACATTTGGGTCTCCCTACAAATATTTTGGACAATTCTGCAATCAGTAGATGCAGCAGAGAAGTTTAAGTTGAAATAAAAAGCTTGTTTTTGTTCATGTTTATTAAATAAAGAAAAATCAAAGTCCCTTTCAATTTTGACCATAAAAAATGATAATGCTTCATTATAATGTACGATGATACCAATGACTATACCTTGTGAAAAATACATAGATTTGGACTATGTTGCATTTATAATCAAATGAAATTGTTAAAAATATATTTTTATTAACTAGGTAAAGATACATTATAGTTTAAAATATTAATACCATATTTTCTCATGTATTCCCTCCATTTTTTTAAACTAAATTTATAGCTTGAAAATCGAGAGAAGAAATTATGCAAGTAATTTAATTCCTGAATAGCACAGCTACAGTAAGAACAAATGAAAAGTAATAATGGATAAACTACTGTATAATATTATTTCTTCACAAGAAACCCACATTCCAATAAGACTACATAGTAATATTAACATTACAATAACTTGTGGATATTGAATCAATATCCCATGATAACCGAGTTGAACATGTGATGCTAGAGTGTGATGTGTCTTACTCGGTTACCATGTAGAACCCTAACCTCACATGGATGAGTTTTGCCACAGTTCCCAAGAGGGATATTGGGAAAATGAAGGAGATGAAGAGCGAACAAAAGAACTGGATTTCAAAAAAATCGAACACATCAGCAGTAAATAGACCTACAATGAGTAGAAATGTAAATAACAGAAGTAAGGTAAAATCTCATGGTAAGTGTGAGAAAGCCTGCCATGTCTGGATAGTTTAATGGAGAATCTGCATAAAATATGTTTCAAATAATAAATGCAAGAGAAAATAAAATGGATGAAATACTAATACAAAAATTTAAATATAAATTGAATACACTAAATAAAAATAATCAAGGGAATACCAATGTATCGTATGATTAAAAAAAATCTTATTTGAAATATGAAAACAAAATTATATTTCATTGCTGAATAATAATACTTACACAAGTTTGAGAAAATTATTTTACATATATGTAAACAGAATATATTACTAAGTAACAACACATTAAGGGAATACAGCTTTTCGAATAAAAACACTTCAACCAGACCGACTGAAAATATTTATATGGACAGTTTATTATGTATCAAATAGGGATAAATTAACTATTGCTTTGACATTTTTATTTGTTAATACATTAGTTGGTACTATGAATAATTTAATCATATAATTTCCAATTATATTACAGTTTATTAAAAATCATCTGAAATTTGTAGAGGCAAAAATTTTGAGCCAAAAAATTTAAAGCATGCGAGTGGAAACTAACCTCATCAATTTGATCATGCTTGGTACATCAGAAACTTTTCCTTGATCTCTTCTGAATATCATGGCACGAGGGCATTTATCATATGTAAACCAGTCTCCATATTTCTGGGCATTGATTTGGGCTCCACTTAAATTGAAGACATCTGGAAAATAGCTGAAGAAAGCATATGCAAATAAATCACTTAACTAGACGTAAAAGATCACTGCAATTATGTGTAAAATTATGGTTACGAACTCTGGAATTTGCAAATTAGAATACTGATTGTTACTCAGTAATATATTACACAGTTGTAAGAACTAATAGCATAATCATCATTGTTTGGTAAATCCCATAGACCCATGATCAAACTATAATTTCAAAAACACTCTTTTCTTCTTTTCTCTAAACTACAACTTATATGCATTCCTAAAACTTAACAACATTATACAGTTGAAAAAGCAATGAATTTGTGTTATGGTGCGAAAGTCGGCAACCACTATTATTATTATTATTTGTGTGTGTGTGTGTGTGTGTGTGTGTGTGTGTGTGCATGAACTTTGGCATTTCCTTCATTAACATGCAAGTACTGTTTCAAGCTCTGTACAAGATGTAATTTATCCTTTTTGTTTATCTTATTTTTTGGAGGGGGCTGAAATGAGAACGTCCCCCCCCATTTCAACATTGACTTCAAACCAATTAGAGGAAATGCATATCTGCGTTATATCTTTTTTCTCAACAAATCTTTTTCCAATTGAAAGTTCTTGAACAATATATCATTGATGTTCATTTTTACCGCATTTTGCAGCACGTCTGCATTAGATATGCTATGAAATGTACTGTAAGCAATATATTTCCATGCACATGATATTTTGCCAAAATACTACTATTGTTCAAATTCTTATAAAATGAAACTGTATGTGACAGAAAATGTATGAACAACTACCAATAACAAGACAGAATAAGGAGTGGGAACTACGTTAAGAGAAGTTATTTGGCTTTTTATTTAGTACAGTTCATATGCAGGCAGAGGAAAATTTCAGAAAATAACAATCTCCTTGATGTGACTGCCAGGCAATATCCATCGGACATCAAGCAACGTATTTAATAGAGCTCCTGACATCCAAAGTATATTTGCTCACCAAAAGATGCTGATGAATTGTTAGTAGTTATTGTGAGTGCTGGCAAATACACAACTTTAAAATAAGATTTGCTAAATTACTTAATAAACTGAAATCAAAACAATCCTTACGCAACATTATATGACGGGAAATAGCCTTGATCTCTCAAAAGTTTTGTCACATCTTCACTATGTGTATAGCCACTGGAAAAGAATTTCAATCAATTTTTTCTATAACAGAAATGCAGCAAATGGTTTCAGAAAATTTCATAAATGTAAAATACATTATACAGTCAAACATCTTTAATCCGGACTCGCCGGGACTTCGGCGATTCCGGATTATCGGTTTTTCTGGATTATAGATCAACATTAAATCTGGTAAGATGGCATGCAGAAATTATAAAATTAAAAATATGAAACCGTAATTTATGATATAAAGAGCAATTATGAACTAAAGGGTATCAAAATTTAGAAAAAAAAGCTTAATACTTATTTGTTTACTTTATTAAACATTTCCTTCAACGCGCGCATGCATAAAGCATACATTACGCATAGTCGAAATTAAAAAATTTCAACCAGAAAACTATTTGATGTGTATTCGTGATATTTATAATGACGGGGAATTTGATTTAAATCATATCAAAGACGGAGTACATCGAGATGAAATACTGCATTTAGCAAGGAATTATAAGCCGAATAAAATAAAAATATCTGCCCTGAAGATAAGGATAGTGCTGACAAATCAACTTCCAGTTAAGTGCGCACCACGACGTCCCTTTCCCTGGCAGAGCAGCGTGAAATTGATAAACAGATTTCGGGATGGTTAGAGAAACAAAGGATACGCCTTTATCCATTTTTTGCAGCAATTCCACTTTTTGTTTGATGGACATCAAAACATGCTTTCGCTTTGTAGATCATTTGGCAGCTCCAGAATCGGAAATTCTTTTTGACATAATCGAAAGTTCAAGCTTACTTTTATAAAATTGCTGTAACAGTCTGCAAAAAATAATAAGCCGGATCCAATTAGAAAATTAAGGAACAACGCGATCTGCAACATTAACTGAAATAGGTAATTAGATAATTTTAGCTTAGCTTATACCGTCCGTTATACATTAAACGAACATGTGTAAACGTATTATGCGTATGCGTAAATGCATATGCGCATGTGCAGAAAGTTTGTAGCTTTGAGGTCCGGATTAAAGACTTTTGACTGTATATGTGTTAACTTTCTGTATAAGACAAAATATCTTTTAACAGAATCAACAGCATTAAGAGATACTATAAAATAGAAATTAAATAGATTAATTTGCTCTTTAACTATATGGAAATTATCTGCCTTCAGAATATACTATTTATTTACTATTAATTCATAGATTAAATCTGACTATGCATATGTTTAAAGGTTATTTATTACATATATAAAGAATATTTCTTCATTTACCTACACGTATGAAATTCATTTGTACATTCTACGAGTTCCAACAATTTTGTACCAAATACATACAATTGTTGAAGATTTTAAATACAGGTCAAGTAGTGTTCTAATTTAGATTGAATAAATCAAGAAATAGCAGAGGAAATTAACAAAGATCACATTAATAACTTCAATAACATATGTAGGAAATTATAAATTATTTCTTGCAATTGTTTGAATCCTAAATGACAGAATTGTTACTAAGAAATATATCAAATATTATAATATATATATATATATATATATATATATATATATGAAACTCAGGTATGCATATTTTTTTACACCTACATTTTTTACACCTACATACAATTGTTGAAGATTTTAAATACAGGTCAAGTAGTGTTCTAATTTAGATTGAATAAATCAAGAAATAGCAGAGGAAATTAACAAAGATCACATTAATAACTTCAATAAACATATGTAGGAAATTATAAATTATTTCTTGCAATTGTTTGAATCCTAAATGACAGAATTGTTACTAGAAAATATATCAAATATTATAAATATATATATATATATATATATATATATATATGAAACTCAGGTATGCATATTTTTTTACACCTACATTTTTATTTTAGCATTTTATTGCACCTACAAATAAATCCTAAACATTAAACATTTTAACTTCTTTACGTGGAGAAAAAAGTGCAAAATAGGAAAACTTAGTTTGAATATTTATAATAATCCTGCAATATATAGCATGTACACACATGTCCTTTCACAGCTTTTATCTTTATAACTTTTGACCACATATATACTTCCAGTTACAAAAATAAATATTTTAGATTTTTTAGAAAATACCTTGTTATGGCATTTTTAAATTTAAAAATCAGTTTTATAAAAATTATTAAAATTTTATAAAAGTTTTAGTACAGTTTCTTAGCCCCTACTGTTAAGTTTTGAAAAAATGTCTACTCATTACAAAAAACAGTTTGACTCCCATAAAAAAATTAACCACGAAAATTTCATTTAAAAATCTGTGATTTTTGTGATCTTTTTTTTTTTTTTTTTTTTTTTTTTGGCTTCCTCTCTAATTCATTCAGCGATATTCTTTTGGGATTTACTAGTGTGCAACAGTCTTTAATTTACGATTCATTACATATGATATGCTAAAAGAATTTCATGCAAGTAATTTAGAAGTTTCCAAAAGCTAAAAATGTTACTAATATTCTCATGCAGTTTTACTGCACTGAAATCATAATGTAATAATCATAAAAATCATTCATATTTTTCACTTGTGGAAATAATGCTAACAAGCTGTATTTGTGCTGATATTGAAACCCATCATAGTTTTCTAGAATAAAATTTCTATAAAACTCTTGACACAAGATCTGTTTCTTATATATACAAATTTATACTGATCAAAACTTTTCATAACAAGTTTTAGGTAAGGTTGAGGGAAACTGGCTTGTATTCATATTGCACACAAAGAAAGCCATGAAAACAAACTTGCTGCCAGGCCACTTCCCTGGGATTGAACCCAAACTAGGTAACTCGTATTCGAAGGTCTTGACTACTCGGCCAGTGGCGGGACATTTTTTATTACAGTTTGCTAATCAATTATACTATTAATGCAGATTTTTTTCTGATCTGGTATTCATATTTAGTTATGAAAAACTGTGGCCATTTCACTTTTTAATTTTTACATCTTCCCAGAATACAACTCAAACTTAAAAATTAAATACAGTCAAAAGTCGTTAATTCGGACACCCATAATCCGGAATGATCTATAATCCAGACCTCAAAGCTAAAATCTTTCTGCGCATGCGCCGCATTGACGCATGCGCATAGGCATTTTACGCGTGAGAGCAAGAAATTTACAACTGCGCATATGCGTCTGCACAAGCATAGAATACGTTTTCACGTGCACGTTTAATGTATAACGGACAGTATAAGCTAAAATTATCTAATTATCTATTTCAGTTAAAATTGATGATTGCGTTGTTCCTTAATCTTCGAAATGGATCCGGCTTATTATTTTTTGCAGACTGTAAGAGCAATTTTATAAAAGTAAGCTTGAACTTTCGATTATGTCAAATAGAATTTCCGATGCTGGAGCTCCCAAAGGATCTAGAAAACGAAAGTATGTTTCGATGTCCATCAAACAAAAAACGAATTGCTACAAAAAATGGATAAAGGCATATCCTTTGTTTATCTAACTGTTCCGAAATCTGTTTATCAATTTCACGCTGCTCTGTGCTGGGGGGGACGTCGCAGTGCGCAATGAACTGGAAGTTGATCTGTCAGCACTATCATTATCTTCAGGGCAGATTTTTTTTTTTTATTCGGCTTATAATTCCTTACTAAATGTAGTATTTAATCTCGATGTACTCCATCTTTGATATGATTTAAATCAAATTCCTCGTCATTATAAATATCACGAATACAAATCAAATAGTTTTCTGGTTGCAATTTTCTAATTTCGGCTATGCGTAAGGTATGCTTTACGCATGCGCGCGTTGAAAGAAATGTTTAATAAAGTAAACAAATAAATATTAAGCTTCTTTTTTGTAAATTTTGATACCCTTTAGATCATAATTGCTCATTATTTTATAAATTACGGTTTCATATTTTTAATTTTATAATTTCTGCATGCCATCTTACCAGATTTAAACTGATGATCTATAATCCGGAAAAATCGATAATCCGGAATCGCCGAAGTTCAGACGAGTCCGGATTAAAGACTTTTGACTGTACATTGATTAATTTTCATCACACAGAAATCAGCAATTTCAAGTGAATGTAAACTTTTACAATATAAAACTATAGGTAGCAGGGAGGTCATATAAATATTTAGGTTTCCTGACTTTTAAAAAAATTGACTTTTTAAAACTTAAAATGCCAAAAAATGAATATTTGTTTCCTTTAAAATATTTTTTGTAACTGGATATTTATATGATCAACAGGTGGGAAAATAAATGCAATAAGACTGTTATGTAAGAATATTTGGATTACAGTGCTCTTTCGTAGAAGTTCTGCATTGAATGCAAGTTAAATTCAAATATGACATTTCCATTTGTACGGTTTTGTATTAAACTGGAAAGAATAAAAATGACAATAAACTGATCCATAATATAATTTTAAATTTTACATATCAGCAAATATCTTATATTGGAAAGCTTAATCAAGTAATTCAGTTTAGAATTTTACAATAATGTACAATGACAAAAATATGTTTTTCAAAAACTCAGTAATATAGAGAGGAGCTTTGTATATAAATATATAATTCCTTTTACATTTTATCCCAATTTGATTTTATGAAAAAGTAAAAATTATAGCACCATTTTTACAAATTATGTTCTGAGAAAATATGACATACGGTAACTGTTCCAGCACCCACAACAGTCCATCTTGAAGAGGCTTTCCAGGCATGAATTTTTTATAATCTACAATCATCCACTGATTATTATACCTAAAACATACAAATATAATGAACAGTCAAATATACTAATTAATATACAAGAAATTAACTATGTATTAAACTAATACATTTCTGTAAAATAGGCCTTATCAATCTTTTAAACATTTTGAAAGAGCTTATGATATTAATAATAATGAATTGCAAATATACATTTCCGTGACCTGAAATTGCAACAATATTTAAGAACAGACTGCTTCAAATAATACTAATAAATAAAAGCGTAAAAAATTTCTCTTGCCTTATTTAAATTTTTCAAAACATTTCTTAAAGCTTTCTTCAAAAAATAAAATTGTATTTGCTACCTTCTTATTTGGAATTACACAAAATAAAGCAGTATGACAGTTAAAAAAAGACTATGAATGATCTTTTAGCCTAAACAGGTGTTAGCCTAGAAAGGCTATAAATCTTAAAATAGCATTTTCCATCGAATCACTAAAAAGCGTTGAATCACTTTTCAAACTGTTTTCACCAAGTATTATCACCCTGTATTAAAGAAATTAAATCTGCATGAATTAATAAGAATCTTTATGAATATATCTATGTTTCTTGCACTGCCAAAAAAAAAGGTACCTAGAGCACACAAATTTTAAATAATGTAGTCCACCACCCGAATATGGACGCCTGGAAGCCTGAATTTTGAATTTGTTTCATTATTTATTTCATATTTTACACTGCACGAAATAAAATATTTTCAGCTCCAGTGTACAAGACTGTCTATCAGAAATTCTAAAGATATCCTGTTGTATGAAGAATAAACAAATAACCATTTAATTCTGAGTCATTATATTCTTTTAAAGCAGGAGACATGAGAAATGAGCAATGCCCTTGCCGAGACTCGAATCCGGACATCTCGAATACATGCTGAGTGCGATATCATTACAACACAATGGCAGGCTAAAAAGAGGAAGAAAATATCTTATACACAGTTTTTTCAATATTTTGAAGTCCAAAGAGAAATTAGCTCAAATGCTCTTGAAATGTGTAAGTATGTAAATGAAAAAAATTCCCCTTTGAGTGTCACATAAAATTGGAAAGCTTCTGGATTTTTTTTTTTTTTTTTTTTACTTATATTAATTTTTACTTACAGAAAAACCTCATATCATAAGATATCAATTGTATCTAAGTTTCAATAAAACAATTTATACCAAATGACTATCAAAGAACTTTCAAATTAGAGGTGGGAATTCAAATCATAATAACAGTTTCTAGCAAAAAAGACAAAAATAGACAGAGAAAAAAGATTGCATTGAAAACTCTTCCTTAATTTTTTTCTGAATAAATACTCATAACGCATTAATTTAGATTATATTTTTACTCTTGAGTATCCAGAATTAATTTTAAGATAATGAAGATATAGATGTATGTTCATTTATCAGGATTTACTGTCTTCCTTTCAAATTATTAACATCTTTTATAATTGTACGCTTAGACAACGAAAACATCATATGATCGACGCCCACGTTCATATACTAATAAACAGACTAGTTACATGGTTTTCCTCGCGTGTAATATAAATTATAACTAAGTAGTCCAAAGACATTTCTTCCTTTAGATAACTAACTATCCATTGCTTTGTCTATGTAATCAACCAATCAACCCTTATGATAAGTCAAATTTTAAATTCTGATTGGAAAGTCCTTGCCCCCTCCAAGGCTGAAACTCATTAGTTACTGTTAGCTCTATAGCATAAGAAAAATGTAGGTATAAGTAAATTTGAGTCACTATTTTTTCACAGATTATGACTATATGCAATTTTTTTTTTCTTCCCTGCCTTTTTTATTTATTTATTTATTTTATTCTAATTTTTAATGTTTCTAAATCTTTGTTAATCAATTGGCTCCCTTATCAATGCATCACTGAAATAAAATCCAGAAAGAAACTATCAAATGTTCAATGGTTTCAACATTTTAGTAGCTGATCGGCCATGATTAAAAAGTACTATATTACAAAAAATGACAACACTTCTTAAAGAATATATTTTACATTAGCAGTAAAGTTTGTGGATTAGAATTCTTAAGGTCACTGCTAGTATACCCTTAAAAATAAGTCTCGGAGTGCTGAAAGTTATAATACACTACTTATATTATTATTTACGTAATTTGAGATTTTTAAATTTTATTATTAGTTTTGTGCTTAAATATTCACCTTACATAATTCATCAAAAGATAATATAAATAAAATTAATATTTTGAAAAAATTAAATTTATAAAAAATATGAACTAGCAAAACTGAGTTTAATATTGATTACATGAACAAAAAAATCCATGCAGATCCAATAACAAAAACCATACTAACGTGCCACTATTCATGATTTCAAATAAATTTGCCCACTGCCTTCCATCCTTTGCCAATCTGTTGGCAATAATGTTCCTTTGCCATTCTAAAATTGCTCCTTCTGGAGTAACAAAGTCATACAAACTTGTATTGCTATTTCCAATAGTAGTTTCTATTGCAACCTAAAGCATTCAATTAATTATTACATCAAGTTAACACTTTCATATTGAATTCTTAACAACACAATAACTACAGTTAAAATTTAAACTAGACTAAACACAAAATTTTAGATAAAAATATATAGCTTAAATGCCGCAATATATTAGGAAGTCGACTATTAGTGTCCCAAGTTAGACATCTTTACAAAACTGAACAAGGTTTTTATAATACAATAATTAGTAACATAGTCATCACAAAAAGGCAATAGAGAAGAATATCTTTGTTTATGGATTTAATTCAACTTAGTTACAACTGAAATCAAGGTATAAGAGCATTGTGGTAACAAGACATTTGAAGTATTAAATAACTGAAAGGACCACAGTCTAAATGAATATTTGAAATATCTAGATAACTGAATTAATTTTTCTTTGCAGTCCATATATACATATTTAATGTAATGCTAGCAAAAAAAAAAAAAAAAAAAAAAAAAAAAAAATTTACTTATTTATTTTTTGTTAATAGTATTTGCTTTTGCCACAACACAGAAATCATTTCTATTTAAACTATAATAAAAAAAAAATTCTCTTAATATTTATAGGGAATCTATTTCCCTCGTGCTTTGGACCAGAAGTCTCAAACTCAAATTATATGCAGACCAAATGCAAAATGTAAAAACAAATGATAGGCCAGTTTTTTTAAGGAAAATAAAAAATATTTTAAATTTGCCTTACTTATGAAAAAGAATCTCAAATTATTAAACAATATCAATTTATCAAAACAATTTATAAATAATAATGTAAAGGGAAGAACTTTGACTTTGTATTTATTGTCCATCTGAAATCCAAGGTTTGGTACTTAAAAGACATATTTGTTCATCACAACTTTGTAACTCAAACATATTGACAGCTATATATTAATATATCACATTGATATTTTGATATTTATTTTAAATCATTTAAATACTTTTTATTTGATATTAAATATTTATACATATACAAATAAACAAACTTTCTAAGCTCTCAGAGAAAGCTTTCTAAGTGGGACAAAACTTGAAAATAAATAATGACAATATAGTACCTTTCTGTTATGCATTAAACTTTTTTGACATGTCAATAAAAATGCATGAAAATTATAAACTATAATGTTTGCATGAAAACTATAAACTTTCCTATTTTTTACTACAACTTGACACTGGATGGCATTCTATTTCTGATAAAGTTTGTAGACTCGCAAAAATATTATTAGCCCAAAGAGCGTTAGCCCAGAAGAGCTATTAATTTCGTTTTGGCACTTTGCCTCAATTCACTTTTCAAACTGTTGTCACCAACTATTACAACTCTGTATTAAATTTAAAGAAATTAAATAATGAAGAATCTGCATAAATGTATGTATGTTTCTCGAATTGTGATAAAACAACGTTACCTAGAGCCATCAAATTTTAAATAACGTAATCCTCCAGCAAATATGGACATCTGGAAGCCCTAATTTGGAATTTATTTTATTATCTATTTCACATTTTGTAAAACTTTAACAAATTTTTGGTTAAACTCAAGGATTTCAAAGCGAGCAATGGCAATATTGTACAGGAAAAAAATTTTTATCTCCAGTGTGCGAGACTGTGTATCGGAAATTCTAAAGATATGCTCAATTTAAAATTATTTTGTGATATTGCTCTTGAACTGAATTTTATGGTTTAAGTGCAAAGAACATGATATTTAATAAATAAAAGTAATACACAAAACATTAAAAAAACCCTTTAGGCATAATGTTAATTTAATTATTATTCAACATATTACCTTTATTATGGGTTGTAGATGTTCATTGGCCAATCGGGTTCTTATTAATTAATAATTGAAATGTATTTGTGGGCTACATAAAACTACTTTGGGAGCCTAATGCAACTGGCAGGCCACCAGTTTGTGACCATTGCTGTAGTCCATTTTATGTGTTACATATTCATCTAAACTAATAGTTTCTTGAAAAATGTACTATGCTGCATAATCTTCATTGTTTAAACATTAACTGCAACATTAAATAGATAATTAGATAATTTTAGCTTAGCTTAAACCGTCCGTTATACATTAAACATGCATGCATAAACGTATTTTGCGCATGCGTAAACGTATTTTGTGCATTTAAAGAAATTAAATAATGAAGAATCTGCATAAATGTATGTATGTTTCTCACATTGTGATAAAACAACGTTACCTAGAGCCATCAAATTTTAAATAACGTAATCCACCAGCAAATATGGACATCTGGAAGCCCTAATTTGGAATTTATTTTATTATCTATTTCACATTTTGTAAAACTTTAACAAATTTTTGGTTAAACTCAAGGAACATAAACACATATGCGCATGCGTAAAGGTAGTATGCGCATTACGCATGCGCAGAAAGTTTGTAGCTTTGAGGTCCGGATTATAGATCATTCTGGATTATGGACGTACGGATTAAAGACTTTTGACTGTACTATAAACCAAAAAAATTTATGGCATGCTTTATTGCTAAATTAACTTTGTAGAAATGAAACTGATTCTATAATATAGTAAATCAAGAAATATTGAAAAATGAAGTGGTGTTTCTGAAATATTGTTATTTATGTGAATTTAATTTAATTTATATCAATGTTTAAAAGCAAACTAAACATATTGCTACATTTCCTTTTGGTACAGATTTAATAATGGTGATGTAAATCAATTTTGTCATGAATATGTTGTGATAAATCTTTTGACAAACTTATACAGATTTTTAAATCATCACTAGAAGCTTGTATGGATTTGCCAGATGCATCTGTCCTTTTGAATATTTTGTCCTAAATAACCATCAGAAAAATTTTAACAATGTGTTTTGAAATGGCAAACTATAATCCCACAGCTCAATGAGTGCCACCTAGTAGTTGTCGAAAGAAACACCAGCCAAGAAAAGATAATAGCCTTCAGTCGATGTACGGGAGTCATGAACTAAACATGCCGTTTCCCCGAGATTTCTTTGTAACTTAAATGTGTTAATTGTGTTTTGTTAATTAAAACTATTTAAAAAGGCCCAAGTGAGTGTTTTGTTTATGGTTGTTTGGGTTATACTTGGCTACTCAACGAAGGGCTTGAATGATTTATCCAGTTAAGAAAAATCCACGTTCAAGACTCCAGGACATCGACTCATATTCTTTTCCAGGTTTTAGGTATTACTTCCACCAGCGAAGTCCTCACACTAAGATTATTTTGGAAATTGCATAAAGTAGCAGTTTTATCTTCACTTGAAGGTTATTTTAGACATTGCATGGTTTCATCTTCACTTGAAGGTTATTTTGGACATTGCATGGTTTCATCTTCACCCAAAGATAACAGATAAGCAATTAACTTAATAATCAGATAACAGATTTTCACTTAATAAGCAATATAAAATTCTAACTATAACGTTGTTAATACTTTAATAATCTATAATATTAAATATGGAATAAAATGTGTCGTTAAAAACGAAATAGAATCATATATAACGTATGTATAAGCTCTAGGTATTTCCTTTTAGATATATTGCACTTTTAGAATTTATATTTGATACTAACGTGTCACTATTTATGAATGAGTTGTGTGTTTTGTTTTATTTTATGAATAAATATTAACAGATATTTTTTTTTCCTCTTTGAGAATAGAAATGATTAAAAAGTGAAAAGGGTTTTATCTAGTATATTATTTAAACTGTGCCACTAATGTTTTGTTTTTTTGCAAACATTACTAGAATACTTCTTTTGAATTTAGTTGCCGTTATTCTGAAAAGGCATTCTAATATTTGTTACATTTTCGAATTGTGTGTTTATAAAAATTATAAATTATTATTTTATAATATATGAGAACAACGTATTTATCTGATTGTGTTTTACAAAGAGAACTACAGTCAAAATTAATTTCTTAGAGCATTTAGGATTTTGTAGACATCACGGCAATAACTAATAGAAGATTTATCAAAGTTAAATTCTATATTTGGGATTTTTATATTTACTAAATTTATGCATTTTATTGTCCATTAGCAAGTGTAATAATGCTTGTTAAATGTTAGTTTCATTTTCGAAGTAATCTCAGATTAATGATTTTGTTCGATGGTGTTCTTCAAATATTATGTAATTGTTAAGGATAATTAAGAAATTCATAAAATTTCTTAACATATAATTTTTCTTTAAACAAATATTGAACTTTTCAACGGACATTGAAAGTACGATAACATGAAATTTTGAAATTTTTGGAACTAACCAGAGAAAAGGATGTGCAAGTGTTAGCCACAGTACTGGGTCTGCCCGTTTTAGATAATTTGAAAATGATTTGACTCGATTGAAAAAAAAAATTCATAAATTTCCAATTAAGTTAAAGTTTTGAAACATCTACTTGAATGAATCTTCAAAGTGACGAAGTTAAACATCTGCATACAAAATGGCGTACTCAACTAAATCGGTTATTGCACAAATTCAAGAGAACTGCTTCGAACCAGGGGGAGATCCAACTCCATGTAGTGAACTTTTCTAGAATCATTCTGATTCAATACTATTGAATGAATCATCCCGATTCAGTGAAGGTTTGAAGAGAATCATCCTGATTCTGTGCTGTTGAATGAATCATCCCGATTCAATGAAGTTTGAAAAGAGTCATCCTGATTCTATGCAGTTTTAAGTGAATCATTCCGATTCAATGAAAGTATGAAGAGAATCATCCTGATTCTGTGTTGTGAGACAAATCATCCCGATTCAATGAAGTTTGAAGTGAATCATCCCGATTTAGTAATGTTTGAATGATCATGGATCAATGAGTTTGACCCAATTCCAATGAAGTATGAAATGAATCATCTTGATTCTATTCTTGAGTTTTGAGAAGAATCATCCCGATTCCATAAAGTATGAAGAGAATCATTCTGATTCTGTGTTGTGTGATGAATCATCCTGATTCAAGTGAAGTTTGGAAATGAATCATCCCTAATTCAGAAATGCTTTGAACCTGAATCATCCTGATTCAATGAAGTTTGAAGAGAATCATCCAGATTCTAGCTGTGATGAATCACCAAGATTTAATGAAGTTTGACCCAATCAATGAAGTATAGAGGGCATCATCTTGATTTTAATGTTCTGAAGATCTTCCTGATTCAGTGATTTTTGAAGAGTATTAAAAGCACAAAAATATATTATGGTCATTGACATCTTACGAACCAGGTGATACAGTATAGGAGACAAGGCAGACCAAACCAACATATTTCTGGCTCTTTGCTGAGACGGCATACGAGCCAGAGGGAGAGTCTGTAACCCCACGGCTCAATGAGCGCTACGTAGTGGCTGCCGGAAGAAACACCAGCCAAAAAAAGATAATAACCTTCAGTCAATGTATGGGAGTCATGAACTAAGCATGCTGTTTCCCCGAGATGTTGTTTCTCGAGATTTACTGTGTAACTTAAATGTGTAATTATAATGCCTTTAATTGTAATGTTTTATCTTAATTGTGTTTTGTTAATTAAAACTATTTAAAATGGCCAAATGAGTCTTGTTTATGGTAGTTTTGGTTATAAAACTACATTTCTGAAATAGCATAAGAAACTATAAAAAAAAATACCTATAAATTCATCTAATCACAACTGCTTAATGATAGCTTAATCCAACATAATCTCTGCAAATCTATTAAGATGAAACTGCAAACTAAGGTCTCTTAAGTAAATCACAAGAAAAAAGTTTAAAGCATGGTAAAGCTTTTGTTTAGTGTTTGTTATTTATTATGCTACAGTTATACTATGTATAAAAGGACAAAACTGTTTCCAATATGAAGTTGATAATAATAATATACACTAAATGGAGTTTCATGGGAAATGTTTTAATAAAGCTCTTTGAATGTAGTTTTCAGTATAGTAGTTCTATTAGAGCAGTCGTTGGGGTGAATGTTACTTTCCTGATAATGAATATCTCTAGCACAAGAAAGGTAGTGAACCCTTTTTAAAGAGAGAATGTAAGAGTACTAATAAATTGAAGAAGCAAGTAACTCAAGGACTAATTCTGCGATTTCTCTATGACAAACAAAAAAACATAAACACAAGGTTCATACACAAAGAGAAGCTTGCTGGACAATTTTATCAAGGGAATGGATGTCAGATGTAGAGTACCTGAATACTGCTTAATATAGTTGGACAAGCAAACTAGACAGCTTCAGAAAAAGCAAATTATAAACACTACACAAATTTGTGTTTCATTGCCATATTCCAAAATTTTATTTCAAACTTTTAGGGCATTTTTAACATGCCTTTATGATCTGTAAGTGGTGACTAGAATTCAGTTGAAACAGGAATTTCCCAATGGGGTCAGTATTCACCCCATGAGGGTCGACAAAATTTTAAAGGGGGTATGATGATAATCAAGGGGTTTATAACCAAGCATGAATCGACAATCAATCAGTGTAATCAAGATTCCACTGAGTATAAATATGTATTAATAAAAACTGATAATTAATTATTAATTTATATAACGTTTTATTGTACAAACATAAGTCTTATTCAAAAAAACAAGGGTATGCTAGGTTTTGGAATTTAAAAGTCATTCACAAAAAACACCCTAAAATTAAAGTTGTTTAACTGAACCAACATTTTTTACTTCTTCTTATCTAGTGGAAGCAAGCTTTAGTCAAGTCAGTAACTTACGAAAATCAAGAAACAGGTTGAATTGATATTTGTAAGCAAGATGGTTAAAGAATTTAGTTATACAATTTTATGACAAATATTAAGCATTGCATCAATATATCACGTGCAGTCATCACTAAGATTAAACTTTTGGCCAATTAGAATCTGGATTTTCATGATTGAAAACTTGTTTATATTTGTAAAATTAAAAATAATAATAATGAAAAAATAATAAAACAGTCTAATAATTTCAAAACTTTTGTTCCTATTCACTCAATCCAATTGTTATCTTTAAGTTATTTATGTGCAATTATTTCTACTCTGAATATGTTGTATGTCATAGGGGAAAATATAAGGCGATTGATGACCGAAATAATCTTTTAAAAGAGGTCGATGGAAAAAAATGGTTGGGAATCCCTGGTTTAAACACTAAATGTCTTCCTTTTTTGGGAACATGCATTTTAATATTTTATAAGGCTGATAAAATTCTTAGACATTTCAAAACAAAAATGCACACCTGTTCCATCACCCAGTTGCAGGAGAGTGGGCATCAGAGGTTTCAATTTATGTGTGTGAACTTTTTAGAATTTTCAAATTATGAAGTGAAACACAAAATGGGAAACTTCTTATATGGAAGGGGGCATGTAACCACAGGAAATATTTGTTGAATCAGACCTTTCAGTTAAGCTTTCTCTTCTGAACACAGTTGTTCAGAAGCAAAAGAAAGAACATCCAGCTCTCTAGTTAGGGACACACATGCAAAGCACAAAGTTGCATAGCCAAAGATATAGCTGAATACATTATAGTTTTTGAACTGAGAAATAAAATTAATTTCATGACAAACATGTTATTCTAATTGCACAGCAAGTAAAAATAATTTCATGACAAACATGTTATTCTAATTGTGCAGCAAGTAAAAATAATTTCATGACAAACATGTTATTCTAATTGTGCAGCAAGTAAAAAAAAAAAAAAAATGTGGGGTAGCCTGTCACATGTATGCAACATTGATGTCAAATTATGTTCAGTGACTGCCAAATGATACTGAACAATCTCACTAAACTGTATTCTGATAAGAAAATATAAAATGATAGGTTTCTTAATAATAGATTAAGATACTTGTGCATCTTTGAGGCAATCAATATTAAATCTTCTAAAATGGTAATCTTAATGGCCTCTTACATGGCAACCTCTCTTTTTCTGCTGTCTCAAGTTCATGTGTTAGCATCTTGTGTTCAGTTCTTGGCTATAAAGATATTCGACTGCTTTAAAATTTATATTTTATCCATAAACATGTTAACTATTTTCATTTTTTCATGAACTGAAGTATAAGGAACCAGGATAAGGGCCAAGAAAATTTTTGCAAAGCAACTGCAGAATCATGTCTGCCAAAAATACAATAAGATAGGTGCTTTTTTTTTTTTTTTTTTTTTTTTTTTTTTTTTGAGAGAGAGAGAGAGAGAGAGAATTAGGTCAAATGGTTTCTCTAGAATTTTCAGGTACTTGGTTTGATTTGGTTAGTGGGATATGGCAAATCCTATGATGAACATCTGCTGATATAGACAGATGTCTTCATGGAGGGCCTTCTATGCAAACTGGCTTACATATTCATATTATGCATAGAGAAAACCACAAACCACCCATGTAGTTCAATTGCCAGGATTTAAATCCAGGTTGAACTAACAATGTTCAATAGTTTTAACCACTTAGCCGTTGACAGGCCTTAAATTATATGATCTTAATTTCATATTTCAAGTCCAAGATTATTTTAAATATCATATACAATCTACATCATGTTATATGAATTCTTTTATGACAAATATGAAGAACTCGATATAAGATTTCCAGCCATAAAAAATTACTTTCAAAACTATTTTAAAAACATTTACAAGTTCTCTTCCAATTTAAAGCAATATTTTTAATAATTTAAATATATCATAAAGATAAAACAGTTTATTTTTTATAATACATATATTTCAAAACAAATCTATATTTTGTATGTTTAAAATTGCATGATCATTAATCTTCCGAGTGGCCTGGGCTTTTGGATCTGTCATAAAAACCTGTATTTAAACAGCATTTATTAGCTAAATATGTACATTTATCTAGTTTAGTTTCTGTTTTCATAAACTTACATTTATCACGATGGCATTTATATTATTAATGAAAATAAGAATGCAAAACATCTTAAATTATAAGCTAATATATAATAAGGTATTGTTACTCTGAGAGTTAATTTAGTCCTTTCTGTGTTATTGAAAATTTATTTTTTGCTATATGCTGTTTGTATTCAGTTTTATACTATTTATTTTCAATAAATGTATTTATTATTTATGTGGAGGTAGATTCTTCAACTCCCTCTACTTCTACCCAGCAAGGCGTGATGTCATCGCAGCTTAGCACAGCGCAGATAGCTTCAAGACGTGGAATACAACAGAAGCAAGCAGATGGAATGCAGATCCTCCAAGAGTTGGTGGGAAACCAGACGTGTTTCTTTAAAATCTCAAGTTCCCTGTAGCCAAGCTGAAATGCTTACATCAAGCTAGCCATATGAGGGCAGACGAGCCTGTAGAACTGTTAGAGACTGATAGATTTCTTTAAAATATCATGTTCACTGTAGCCAAGCTGAAATGCTTACATCATGCTAGCCATATGAGGGCAGACGAGCCTGTAGAACTGTTAGAGACTGATAGATAATGTGTGAGAAATATCCATTACATGAATCGAATCCTGTTTGGACTTACTTTAATTGTGAGGTTACCAGCTTATTCACTTTACCTAATTCATCTTTTCATTCATTTTATTTCATATTAGTAAAATAAATTAATTAGTTATGTTTAAGTTGTGCTCTACTATGTTCTTATTGAGGGTAATCTTACATTTATAATCCTAATATGAAATAATAAGAAGTTTATTTTTGCACTAAATTCATTTAATAGACTTTTGATAAGAAGTGCCTGAAACAAATTAATAATACTAGAAAAGGTAACAAAATAATAAAATGCTTATTATGCAGTCTTTTATATGAAGTTTGAGACAATTATACTATAAAAGTACCTACAAGCCCAGATGATATCAGATAAAAATCATCTTGAGAAAATATAAGACCAGGCTGAGAAGAGAATGTGCTTGTATGACCAGGAATTACTGGAGAGCCTAAGAAAAGCAAAATACAGTCGCAATGTAGTTTAAATATAGAATGATTCAAAATATCATTATAAAAGCAAAAATAAATAAACAAAACTGTCCTAGATTTTATGACATGCAAGATACACAAATTTAGGTTGATGAGGGCCTCAGGCATGGAACTGTTATAAAGTCCATTACTTGTTACTCCATCATACAACTATTATTTTTTTTAATTACAGAAGATGTTTTTCAACATCTGGTATAATTTTAGAAAGAATGCTTGATTAAGTTATTTACTTATATCAAGTATGATAATTTTACAATGCACTGGTCTAGATTGAAAGTATTTATTTTAAATCTAGAATAATGTTTTAAGTAGAATAAAGGAGTTAATATTAATTATCAAATCAATAAAACATGAATACCATTTATCTATATTATAGATAACTATTTTTTATTGATTTTTTTTTCCTGAGACCTCTTGCTATTTAAAAAAACTGACTATTTCTAACTAACTCTCTGGTTTTATTTACATAATCCTCAAGATTCAACTCATGTAACTAGATTTTATTTATCTTTTGATTTAAGTGCCATATTTTACTCATGTGAGTATGATTTTTCCACCTTAAGTATTCCCCCCCCACCTAGTTTTCCAGCATATGATTTAGAAACTTCTGGTTTATGATAACAATTTAAAATACAGGCACAGATACAAAAGCATTATTCAAAGTAAAAAGAATATTCTTGAAATTGATAAATTCTTTGAAAAACAAAAGGTCTTGTACACTTTATGGAAATCATTTTGATAATTTTTATGCATAAAGGATATATTTCTTGCGGCAATTTGCTTTTATTTGATAACCTTGATTTTTGACTCTATATCAAATTTTCTATGAAAGTAAACTTTTTCCTAACACCATCATGCTACTATCTCTTTTTGGGTCATTTTCCAAGTCCATTCAGTGTTCTTAGATGCCATTTTTCTAAGGCTCGAAACATCATTGGTATTATAGGTATTTCATTACATGGGATACATTTTATTTCTGTTTCTAATTCTTTCTTTTCTAAAGAAGAAGCAGTTGACTTAGATGTGATACTAGAGCCTAGTGGTTATAAAAAAAATATCTAGTAATAATGTATATTTATCATATGTAATTGTATTAATATTATAACTGGTAATACATTGGTATTAATATTGGTATTATATTGGTTTTATTTTGATATTACATTACACTGGTATTATATTAATACTGATATTAATTGGTAATATGTTGGTATTACTATCATAAATTATTGGTATTCTATGTATTGACAATAATATTATATTTGTAATTTGTAAAATAATTGGTAATAGTTGTTAATGGTCATTTCCAAAAATTGGTTTCAAAATATTGTGCTGATAGTACAGTGAATTAATTTTAGCTTTGCTTCAGACTTTTCTGAATTTTTATTTACCACTGCAACCAAATCCTGCAGCTATTGTGAATTCCTATAGAAACTTTTCTGAATACTGATAAAGCCATTTTGTATGGTCACTTTCATTAGTTGAGCAACAGAAGATTGATCTTTTTCTTTATTATGCTCACTTAAATACATCATGGAGTGTTACTATAAATTTTCATTTATCAGCAGCTATGTGTTTTTCGTGCAGTTTTCTATAATTTGGTTTCCTTTCTGCAAAATGCTTTTTCAAACCCAAATTTAGGTTTAAACATAAAATCATTTGTAAAGATTTAAAGTTAAAAAGAATTTCAAATCTTTACAAATGATTTTATTTACAAAGCCACAAAACATTCCCAGTTCTGATGCAATGGATGATTTGAATTGGTGGGTTTTTTCAAGATCAGAAACTTCACTTTCTTGATATTTGCCTCGATTCAAACAGTCTTAAGATGCAGTTTTGCTGATATTTTTACTTTTTTATTTCCAGCTAGACACTTTTTCATTTTCAAATTTAATATATGAAAAATATCTTCCTTTGAAATGCAATAACTTCAATTTTTACACAACTTTGCAATTTGTTGGTATGAATATTTTTCAGAAAGTGCATTTACATAACCTTTGGACCATCTATCAATTTTAGAGTTATTTTCAAAATAAATCTCTTATTTTGCATTCCAATCAAAGTAAAACAGTAGCAGATGATTTGAAAATGCCAAACCTTTATGTCAAAATACCAATGAAGAAATTTAAATAGAAAATTGTTTCCATACAGTCTGAATGATCTTTTATATAGAATATAATATTAGTGTGCATTTATGTGTGCTTTATAATGTGCCACGTTTTTCATTTAAGCCCCCTCTCTTCAGAAATAGCATACACCACATATCTTTCTCCTCTCTGTTTGGAAGCGATAAAATTAGTAGGAAAAGGGAGAAAATTCATGAGTAAACATGGTATTTAAACTGTAATGATTTTATATATATGGTCACTTCAACAAGTATAAATAAATTCAAATAAATTATTCACAATTCTTTCCATCTATAATATTCCAACATATGTTTGAACTTAGAATGTACAATATTTATACATACCTTCATTCATAGCAGTATGGAAGCTGAAACTATACTTTTTTAAAATGCGCAGCATAGAATTATAGCCAGACCAGGTATCTTGGGCAACATATAGGTTTTCATTATTTGGAAGAACCTTCACTAAACCTGAGCAAGATCCACTCCCAAGCACCTTTTTCAAATTGTTCTTTTTAAGAACAACTTCTAAATCTTCTAAATCACCCATGATATTAAGTAATCTAAAATGGAATAAGAAATTCAATGAAAAAATTTAAGAATGATAACTTAATGTATATAATTAATACAGTCTAAAGTTTATGACTATTTAAATACAATAATTTAACATAAACAGATAATATAAATGATAACTTAATACAGTTTGAAGTTTATGACATATACTATTGCATCAGCTAGATACTATTGCATCAACATAACAAAAAAAGACTAATCCTATTTAAGAAAATATGTGGACATATAAAGTTATTGATTAAGCTGAGAATTCCCAAACTGACAAAGAAAGTTTAGATTTGGTAATTCCTGCTATGAAAGAAGTTTATAAAAACGTTTACAAAAATTTTGTATAAAGGCTAAATAGAGCTCTATAAAAATTACTATGCAACTTAATAGGTAATTCTCTTTAAAAGTGTTTCTCTATAAAAATAAAATAAATAAAAATATATTTATTAAGCTTTCATTGAATAAAATTCTTAAATGTTGCTTTGCAAAATCATACTGAAATTTTATATGGTCTTTACAGAATGGCATTCTTTAGAGATATGCAAAGTTTTCAACATGTAATCAGAACAAATTTTCAGTTTCTGGTTAGTGTATGAAATATAGAAGTGCAAAAATAAAAGCTTTATTCATAAGCAATGAATAAATTTTGAATGGAAATTTTTGCCTTTTAGTCTCTGATTTATTTTTATTTTTTCTTTCTGAATTTATACAACATTTTGCACAGTAAAAGCGTAAAATCAATTTAAATATACAATTAATTACATTAAATTTATGCTGTGCATTATAAAATTTTAATTCCTGAAATTAATGCTTTTAATTATTGTATATGTACTCCTGATAAGAGTAATGGTTTCTTAAGTTTAATTAAACTTTATTATTATTTAAAATACATATATTTTATTTTAAATTTTTTTTTAAATATTAAAATTTTTGAAAAAAATTATCATTTGTTCTGAAAGTTTTTATTTCCTCCCTCCACCCATGCCATAGATTCAATTCAAAATTTTGACAAGGTTAAAAAATTCTATTGCAAAAAGAAAATTTAATTTATTCTTTTTACTTCCAAATAAAATTCCATTGATTTTATAGAGCTTTTAAATACTCAACAGCTTGTATAGGACCTTTTGCAGAAAATTACAGAAATTTGTTTAGAGTTTTTTAGAATTATGGCTTATTTTTTTAAAACTGGATGTGATATTTTTGGTAGAATTCTATTAGTTGATTCTATATGCAATATATTAGATTTTTATAGGTGGAACCTTAAAAAATTCTGTAACATTTTTATACAATCTCTGTATGGTTTGGTTTATGTGATTATGGCAAAGCCTCAAGGGCTATCTGCCTAAGAAGAGGAATACCTTCATGGAGGATCTTTTAAAGGAACTGGCTTATATACACATGGGAAAAACCGCAAAAAATTCCATGCAGCCAGCCCGTTCACGAAATTCAAACCTTGGACCGAACTACCAGTGTTCAGCAACTTTACCACTTGTCCACTAGTGGGCCAGTCTTTGTATGAATCTTTACAGAATATACATACATATCTCTATAGAATCTCTATGCATAACTATACAGAAGCTTTATCTAAAATTTTATAGAAACCTATTGAACATCCTTGATCCAGTTCACAGAAAATTGAATTATAATTCTAAGGACTCAACCTTCTAAAGAACACTGGATTTTTTTTATAGAATTCTGTAAGATATTTTTGTAATGGAATAAATAAACTATCAAAATCAAAAAGAAACATCTTAAATTTTAATGAGATGAACATGATGCAATTGTCAGTTGCATATATCTCTAACGGGTAGTGTAACTGGGTGGAGAAGGTGAGTTACCATTACTGTTTAAGTATCATACTTTCTTAACTCTTTTGTCATAAGAATGATTCGGTTACTCGAAAACCACCTGCTACAAATGTAATTTTTTATGTTCTGAAATTTCTCAGTTTTCAGATTGCACGAATAATGAATGCGCAGTTATCTATATAGTTTAGGAAAAATATAACTCAAATGAAAAAAGATGGGTTAGTTTGATTTATTTGATTATGGCAGAGCACATAAGGGCTATCTGCCTTAGGAAAGGGATGACTGCGGAGGACTTTCTAAAGTAAATTGGCTTGTGTTCATGTTAAACATGGGGAACATCATGAAAACACCCATGCAGCCAGCCTGTCCACACACATTTGAACCCAGGTCAAACTATCAGTGTTTGGCAGCTCTGTCGCTTAGCCGCTGGTGGGCCCTGAAAAAAGATGGGATCGTGAGAAAGAAATGGAATAGAGAATTCAAAAATAGGCAAAAAAAGCTACCTTAAATTGACACAGATTTTAAAGAAAAGTTAATTTAAGATTGCTTTTATTATTATTATTATTTTATATTGGCATGCTTCTTTTTCAATTAGCTAATATAGAATATTATTGATTGAGTCGAATGAAGAAACAGATTTGATAGAGATGAAAGCAATTTTCAGTTCAGATTTATTTATTAATATGTTAATTTACAGCAGTAATGATCCTTATAGTAATTCAGACATGAATTTGTAAAATTTTAAAAAATTTTAAGACATGAATCTTAAAATTTTGTAACCCAACCAAAAGTGTGACACTTAAGACTAAAATGATTTGAAAAAATATAAATTTAACTCGAAGCCCAGAATTAAAGCATTCACATTTTAACCTATTTTTCTGGATAAAAATCTGTCAATTTGTATATAATGGAATTCCTCAACTGTTGGAAACCTTTTTACTAATTATTAATAAAAATAATGTGAAATTTATCAACACTTTTAATGAGAGAGCATCTATGAATAACCAAGGGAATCAGGATGCTAGATATACATATAAAATGGAAATCATATAGTACTGCCTGAACTTTTAAATTTTGGCTATCTTGATAAATTATCTAACAGTAATGTAAATAGTCGTTCCCACTGGGGTTTAATCTGAGCTAACAGAATTAGTTCCATGTGTCGACTAGCTCCGTTATGCCTGCAGTTCAGATTTTTCAACATGCTGCCCTATGGGGAAAAAACTGGTTTTGGAGATGGGTTGGCTATATCAGCTGTCTCCGTTAGCTCAGATAAACCCTAGTGGGAATGGTCTTTAAAAGGTTTATGGCCCAACAGTAGCCCTGGAACTGAATTATTCCAAATCACAACATCAGTTAATACACGCATGATGAAAAGTTGATAAAAAAAAATAAAGCTTGTTAAAGAACAAATGCGTAATATGTTTTTAAACCAAGAATAAGAAAAGCACAGTTTATATTTTAAATATAAAAGATGCGTACAGTAATTTAATTCGCAAGTATCTGTTAAATTAAAACTGCAAAAAATGTTTCAAAGTTGCAATAAAGATATGACATTATCTTTAAATACCAGTTGATAACAATTATATTTATCATTATACTTGTCTAATGTTTTGACAGGCAAATCAATAACAATCATACCATACAATTTTTTGGCTTCAATGCTTTAAAAAAGACCATTCTTTAAAATATTTCCTACCCATCCCAAATTTTGGTAAATGTGTCACATTTATTTTAATTTGAATAAAAGCTGAAAATATGGTTGATTACTAATTAGTCATAAATTATTTTTCATAAACTGAAATTATATATCAAAAGTCAGAACATGTTTGAGAAGTTTTATTTTATTTTCTTCCTTCCCCCCCCCCCGCAAAAAAAAAAAAAAAAAAAAAAAAAAATCTGCTATATTGCAAGAAATACTTCGAAATCCCTATCTGAAACTGTGATTGCCATTTGCAAGAGATAAAATACCTGCATCTCAAACATATAAAGTTAAAAATTTGAAACCCAGATGTCCAATATCCAGAATGATCTAAAATCTCAACCTCCAGACTAGAAGCAACCCTTTTTTTCTTAGAAATTTCTTTGTGTGCTTTATATATGTGCATTTGACCTTTTTTCATCATAAAACGTGAAGAGTCCTGATTCTTAATTTCACTTTGTCATTAAACAAAATACTTCGATACTGAAGAAATAATCATATATTAGCATAAATGTGTATGATCAGTAATTTGGCTCTGAAGCCACCTTTTTGCTTGTTATAGATCTCAAACTGAAACATTCTATATCAAATCATCATTGAATTTACACCTACTGGATCATTTATATTCCTGACGCCAATCTAATGAATTATTATTTATTACTCTTTGCTTTCATCATCACATAACTATCAACATATGGCAGCTTGAGGAATGACTCACGCAGCGATGTCTGGACATTTTGTTTTAAATATTAGTTACTGACTTTTAAAAAATACCATATCCTTTAAGCTTGGCAATGAATTCGGACTTCAGCTAACTGCATTGCGAAATGTTAAATGTGGTGATGGGGAGATATTCAACAAAAATTTCTTTCCATATGCAAAAACAGATTTTATAAATGATACTCATAAGCTAAGAGATTATACTTAGTGCTGTCTGAATTAAGAATAACTGATTCATTATTCAGATAATCCCAGGATTGGCAGCAGAGCTAGTGTGGCCTCACAGGGTTACAAAATGTTTAGAATTTAGAAAAGCACTGAGCAGCAAAATTAAGAAATCGTAAATCTTTAGAATTTAGAGAAGGCACTGGGATGGCAAATTTTTTAGAATTTACGGAGGTGCTTGGCAACAGAATTTAGATTGTGCAGAGACTGCACCATGCCACAAAATGTCTAGTGCCAGCCTGGATAAGCCTCGAGTAGATGAGGGATTTTATTCAAGATTCAGATAAACATGTGCAGGAAATAGGCCCAAGTTTAATGTATAATTAAATTAATATAATTCAGGCTTAACTATGTCAGCAAGCGATAAAAGCAAAACAAAATTTAGCAGAACAACACGTCTCGTGTAAAAAGTTAAAGTTGGGGCTGATGTGTTTTCGAATCTTTTCTTTTAACACCCCTGCAGAATACATTGTACCTCCTTTGATGGTGAAGTAGCAGCCATCAGTATAACCCTAAAGCAATTATTATTCATCACCAAGTTTGCAAAGGTCATTTTTTTCTAATTCTCATGCAGCAATTAACTCATGCAATCAATTAACTCTGTTGAAAACCCATTAACACCTGAAATGTCAAGAATTCCTATGAACTCTCACTTTAAAGGGAAACAAATAATTCTCCAGTGGGTGCCTGGCCATTGTGGCCTTTGGAGCAATTAACAAGCGGACTTCCTTCCAAAAATAGTTCCAACTTATTAAAACATCTTAATACAGCCATTTCTTATTGGAGGACTAAACTGCTTTTAAAAAGTTTATATATATTTAATATTTTACGAGATCTTCAGACTTGTACAGCCTTAAAAAGTTGGAGAACTATAAAAAACTATAAGTCCTTCTCTTATTTCTGATAGTCCAAGATGCAATGCAATTGCGACTTTCTGTCTACAGGACAAGATTGCCTTGCTGCCCACCTGCACCCCATAGGCATTTCAAGCAATCCTATTTGCCCACTTTGTGATTCTGGAGAAGAAATGGACAGGGACCACCTGCTTCGATGTGGGGTTCTTCGTGGTCTTACAGAGGAGTCGAGATACTGGATGGCAAGAGCACTTCTTAGGCAAGGACTTCGATTTTTTTGTTCTTAATTTTATTGTTTGTAACCTCTGTTTGTAAGATTTTAGTTCTTCGTAACTTTTTGCCTAGCCATTGGAAATTTAAAAAAAAAATATCATGACCACCGGGATGAAACATTTATGCTTTTTTTTGGGGGGGGAATCAATGGACCCTCATAAAATCTGTAATTTTTAAGCAGATGGATGCAGGGAAATTCCTGTATCAGATACATGACTAGACACTGCTTTTAAAATCAACAAAAGATGCTTACACCATTAAAACTTTTGTGATATTGTAGAGTATATTTTATCTTCCAGGAAATATCATTCCTACTGATTTTGCTATCTCCTGTAATGAATAGCATGTGGTCAAAAGAAATCTAGATTGAGAGTTTAGAAGACAAGAAGAAGAGTTTTTTTGTTCCCCATAAAGGTTAGAAGCTATGATTAATTGGCACATAAACGTGTCGTGGAATATGACTAATTTTATGACAAGTCATCGAAAGACCACAATTTAATCAGATAAACGTTAAATTTTTATGTGTGTATAATGAATACATAAGCCCTTGGAAAATTCTGTATAAAGGCATCCCTTCTGTAATACAGGTAGCTCTTGTGTGCTTTGTTGCAGTCAAATAACACAGTACAGAGCTCTATATGTTTATAACATAATATATTTTTTATTCTCTCTCTTTGTCATATTTGTGCCATTTCAAAGACTAATTTTTGTAACAAAAATATGGTCACTTAGAAAATATAACTAAAACATATCTTAAATTCACAGCAATAATTAATAATTTATTTGTAATTCAATTGCATTTAAAATTTAATTAACTTTAAATTTGCTTTTTACAAATAGAGAATGTTTGTTAAATTAAAATATATTTTATCCATATGTATGTATTTGTTTATACTACATTATAAGCAAATGTATTATAGTTATTTATAGTTTCAGATGAAACAGACTAAACAGTTTAATGTGGTTGTGTAGGCATCCCTTATGTCTTAATTATTCAGCATGTACACTTTGTAACCAAACAAAAAGGGGGGAAAGTTCTATATATCTTTTTTTACTGGACTGATCATCAAAATTTAACTTGCCTTTTCCATTTTTCGAAAGTGTGACTTAGGATATATATATTACATTCATATATAGCAGTATTCTAACATAGGTGTTTTGACACAAAATTGACTTTTACCGAAATAACTTACCCATTTTTTTTCCACATATTGATTCTACAACTCAAATTATGCCTAGATATTAAATTTTGCAACTTTTGGTGAGAAATGTAAAAATTTCAGTTTGCAGCAAGAATAAAATACAAATTTTAAAAATAAATCATAAAAAATGGGCGAATTTTATTTGGAATGAACCTAAATTCCTAAATGAGAAAGGAGGAATTAAATAAGTTTATAAAAAAAAAAAAGACAGATTAATAAATATATACCAAAGTCATTTAACATGGAGGAGCTAATTTTTTAAAAACTGCTCTTATGATTTTTATAAAACTTGGCATTTTTGACATAATTTGAGTCATAGAATCAAAACATGGAAAACTATTGGTACGTTATTCCAGAAAAAGTCCGATTTTGTGACAAAATATGTATGTTAGAACAATGCTATATAGAAATCTAACATGTATCCTAGGTTGCATTCTTGAGACATGGAAAACACAAGTTAAATTTCAACAATCAGTCCAGTAGAACGGGAGATATAGAACTGCCTCCCTTTTATTTTTTGTGTGAGGTGTACCTTTTGCTGAATTAATAGCCACAGACCTGTATGCAAATTATAAATATTTAAGAATTTTAAAAGTAATCCTAATTTTAAAATAAAAAAATTCTTTGTAAGAAAAATTTCAGGTAATTGCATTAAACATATATGATGTCTTGCATAACTTTATTAAATGAGTGAATTTCCTACTTATTAGGTTTCTTTACACACTTTATTTCACTAATCCAGATATGAATTCATATAAAAGCAGTTATTGAATGATAAATTGTTATATTATTTAACTAAGTGAATAGACAACTATTAGATTTTAAATCAGTAGTACCTTATATAGAAGTGCATTAGATAAGCAGTTTTTTTTAATAGGAAATGATTTTCTGCCACTGAAACTTTTGGACAAAGGTATCTTTCTTTCAAAAGAATTCCAGAATAATCAAATAGAATAAATAAATAAAAGAAGAAATCATTACTGATAAGTTAGTCACAAAAAAGATTGAGTGAAACAATGATTTTCTCTTGCACAATTATGTCTACTGAAATAATCTTTAGAAAATCACATAAAATAGCTGATATGTCTATTTTTTGCCAAAATGCTTTTAATCTATCAGTAATGATGGAGGCATTCTCATTACCAGACTTTTATCTGATAGTGACCAATAAATCAACAATAAAGCAGATTTACCAAACAACTACATTGTTGATGGTGTAATGGTTTTAAACCAAAATGCCAATTTATTTTCATTTCCTTACATTCATTTGCTTATGCATATTTTTAACTATAATCTTTTTTTTTTTTTTTTTTTAATGTTTGTAATATTTTTATACTTTCAGCTTGATTCTGTATCTTTGTTGCCATTTTGAATTACTAAAAATTATTGTAACCACAACCACAGTTGAGATTACAAACATAATACATATATAATACTGATCAAGTTTAAATTAAAACTAAACAGGCAAAATACATGAGCAAGCAGAGGGAACAAAATTTTATTCATTATAATTTCATTAAAAACTTTTTAAGTTAAATATAATGGCTCTGTATATTGAAATGATATTAAGCTACAAAGAAATGCTTGAAAAAATAATTTAAATAAAATAATACACTGTGATAAAATAAAAAATGGGAAGAGCTGTATTATTATTTTCAGACTCTTTGTATTATCAAGAGAAAATCAAGTCGTCTAACAATAGTATTTTATTTTCCTGACAAAATCTGTCATGTTTTTGTACATTTAAAATCAGCTGAATACTGAATAAAACTAGCTGAGAATTTAAATATTTTCCATGCATCTGAAAATTAAAAAAAAAAAAAAAAAATCACCAGCATAACAAATTTGCCAACCAAAGGTAAAACCATTTCAGTACAATAACATTAGTCTTATTAGTATAATTAATGCAATATCAAGCTCAATTTAAATTGAATTAATTTAGTTTTATTCTTTTCTTTTTAATCATAAATAATAAGTTTAAAATCATATATTACATACACTTTACTTACAAGAAACCTAAAACATCTACTTCAGTAGATGGCTCACTGGTTATATTCTTGAACCCATCTTCTAAGCCATGCAGCTGCTCTAAAGTTAAAGCTACCTAAACAAAATTTAGAAAATAAAATAACATGCAATTTTGAGTTAAAAAAGTAGTCCTACTATATTTTCTGAAATATATCAAAAAAAGGAAGAAGGCAAAAGTGTAAAGAAATGATGCAACATAAGAAAAATTACTGCTGATTATAAATAAGAGAAATATGAAAAATTATACTATTCTAAATCAAAATTAATAATGCTTAAGCATTAAGGTCTGACAAATATAAATATGTAATAAGAGTTTCTGCTTATTAAATTTACCATTTAACAAAGCAACTTATGCTTTAATAAATAATCTCATTTACAATGATATCTAAATTAGTTTCAACAAACATTATCAATGTTAAGATGCCATGGTACTTGAGTATTAACGCAACCACCTTGGCCCAATCTGGGGTTTTTTTACAATTGAAAAGGTGAAAGTTACTTATCTGGTGTAAGTTGGTGGTTCCTGTGACTTTTCTTTAAAAAAATTTCCAAACTCTCAATATTTATCACAAGATGGCAAACAACATTATCAATATAAAAAAAGAAAGCACACTTTAGCAATTTAAAAATCTTAATTATTAAACAAGGATTATGCGATAGATTAAAAGAAACACCAAGTCTTTCTGTAATTTTTTGACACTATTCTTCTCCCCAAATACACAGCAATGTGTTTTCGCTTTAAAAAACATCACAGAATTGCAGACTCAGCTTGCGCAAACTTCAGCAGTGCTGGCTATCTATCAAATACATTTCATTGTTCCCTTTAGTGATTTTGGGGCAAAATTCTGTATTCCTACAGAAATGTTTCCATGGTTACTTCCACTGCTGGCAAATTCCACAAGTGTATATTTTAAAACTAAGAGGGGAAATAGCAGCATTTGTTTATAAAAACTATTAGAACTCAGAATGTAACAAAAAGAACACATAACAGCAATGTTGTTTGACTGATGGATTGCTATACACATGATCACCTGAAGAATGGTTAGATGCATGGTTGCCAGAGTTTGTCACATTCTGAAAGTCTGGCAATTTCTGCTAAGGTTGTTGCAATAACGCATTAATACCACTCCCAAGTAAGTTAATCATGTATATAATGATCTACTACTTTTAATTATTTCTTTTTTAGATGGTGCCTCTAAAATTATATTTTTAAATCTGAAGGTGCAACAAAATGGCATGAAAGAGAAATGACTACAACAAGAACCAATTTTAGCACTGCCATCTAATAAATAAATGAAAATGGTAGATCACATACTAGATGATTACCTCAAATTTACCTTAGTTTAAATCATAGTGATTGTGCTGAAATAATAATGAACCAGCTTAAATATCACATGGAATATTTTTTAAATACATTTTACAAAGAACGTTAACATCACATAGTTTAGTTCAGTAGTTTTCCCATCACAGATCTCCTTCCGACTCTTTAGTTACTATTATTAAAAAATAAATATTTTTTATTATGTCCCCTCCCATCAATCACAGATAAAAAAATTTTCCAGAATTTTCAGTTGAAAGACTATAAATTAATCACTTTAAAACATACAAGGTGGACCAAATACACCAATATACAAATCAGTCATCTTAACGAATATGCACTGTTGCACTAAACTTGGAAATATGCTCCATAGCTGGTGTTCACCCAGATAAGACAATTTTTAGATTTGTGGTTCAGTTTAACTATGAATTTGTCTGTGTTTTTAGAAAAACTGAGAAATTTTGACGAAATAAAATAAATCTGTAAAAATACTTGTAAGTATTTTATTTCAACAGAAAATAAATATAGATTCACTCCCCAATCTAAACTTATACCTAACAAAAGAAGCCGGGAATGACAGAAAATGTAATTTTGAATTTCTAACTTGCAGATATTGGAAATAGAATTGGACAGTTCTAGTTTATAAGTTTTTAATTTCTTTTTTAACTTATTCTTTAGTTTATAAGTTTTTAATTTCTATTTTAACTTCTCACAGTAAGTAAAAACTTCTAATATGCATATATACTATTTTATATATTATAAGTATATAAATTACAGAAAAAATAACATTAAAGAGGAAAATTCGTTAATTTTTGCTGCTGCAAAAACCTTTTTCTCAGCTATGATAATTTAGTTTTTTACTATTGAATTTTTTTATAAAGCAAAAGCAGGTAAAGCAGTTTATTAAATTTTAAATTAATTTAAATAAGATAAAATAATAAAACCATAAATAATAATATATAATAATAAAATCTTTATTTTTTTTTCTCATAAATTTTAATTTCCCCCCCTCCTAAATATCTCACTTATAAAATGTTTGGGTCAGCAATTTTGAATAGGTGGCAATACTGAGAATATGATTAATGGTGATGCACAGCAACAAAGTTTGTTTTCATTCTCAACTGTGTATAAGCCAGGAATTTTTGGAACTTTTTCTAAAGCTAAATCACAAAGGTCAGCTTATATATGGATCTTCTGTTAACTGGGCACTAGCAATAAATAATCAGATATAGACCTTTATTGCTTTAGTTTATAGTTATTATTAAAAAAATTAATTTTAAATTAAATGATTTTTTTTTTTTTTATATATATATCTATATCTATATATATATATATAGATTTTATTGCTGGTTTGTTGCCTTGTCACGAAAACAAAAAATCTGATGTTAGCAAAATTTGCTCCCGGCTAGCGGAAAAGTACCAAAACATACATCAGAAATAACAATAAAATATCATAAATAATTAACACAATAAAATTTAAAAGAAAACGAAAATTACTTTGTTTTAAATGCAACCTTTATGCAAAAAGAAAAAATCATGCAAAGTCTGTTCACACATTTTTTAGATGATTTGTTTTGCTATTAAAAAAAAGGGAGTTTTTAAAAGGATAAATTATCATCTGCCATCTGACAATTTTGTTTTGACAATTGACAATTTGTCAAGCAAAGCAATGCTTTTAAAGAAGCAATAGATGGAAGGCTATGTTTGTGCTCTTCTTGTGGCTTGAACTTATGTAGAAACTTTAAATACTGATTAATATTGTTTTATTTGTTTTTTGTTGTTTTGAGAATGGCAACAAAAAGATTATTGATATTGTTCTAAACAGTTGTTTACATTTTTCTAAAAACGATAATAAAGATTATTTTGATTTAAAATGTGGATTAACATTATTTGATGAAACAGAGTTCTAATTATAAAGATTAATTTGGAGTCAAAGCCAATAACTGGTGACTTGGAGTTTTGAGTGAATATATCTGAAGACAATAAAACTGTCACAGATCCTGCACAGGAACTCTGTAAGATAAGTGTCAAAATTCCTCCATTTTGGTTGGATTGCCCAGAAATATTGTTTTTTCAAATTGAGGCAAAAGTTTAAGATAAATAGAATTGTTTCGGAAGAAACAAAATTTAACTATTTAGTATCACAGTTAGGATACAAATATGTTGAGAATATCTGGGATATTGTAACAAGTAATTCCGCTACTAAATATACAGAATCCAAAACAAGGCTTCTGGATTTATTTAAGAAAAGTGAAAGTACTCGAATTAAAAAACTGCTTAGAGGAATCGATTTAGGCAACTTGAAACGCAGTCAATTATTACAAAAATTAAAATCTGTTGCAATATCGGATGTGTCCAAAAATTTAATTAAAACATTATGGTTAGAGAAATTGCCAGATTTTATGTGCAATATAATACTTGTTAGTGACGAATTACCCAAGTTAGCAATCATGGCTGATAAAATTTCAGCTATGATGCCTTCTAAAGAGATTTGGGGTGTATCAACAGCTAGTAATTGCTTGAATATGGAACTCTTAATAAAAATTCAATCCCTTGAACAACGAATTGCCGAAATGACTGTTCATCATATATTGAAACCACGATTTAGGAACAACTCTCCATCCCGCAGACGATCTCACAGTACTTCTAAGAAAAGATTTAATGCTAAAGGAAAATATTGTTTTTATCATTTCCGTTTTGGTACCAAATGTCATCAGGATAAATGTACTCAACCGTGCAGTTGGTCAACTAATAGATCATCCAAACAGGGAAACGACAGTGTGCAGTAGAAGAGGCAGCAAGCTCTACTGCCAGATAATGTTCCAGAGTGTCGCCAATTTCACCTATTTATCAGAGATAAAAAATCAAAAGTGTGTTTCTTAGTGGATAGTGATGCAGATGATAGTATTTTATCTGCATTAGCACAAGACAAATAATCTGCGGATTTTGAGTTGTATGCAGTGAATGGTACCGAAATCGAAACATATGGTATAAAAATCTTAACACTTGATTTGGGACTTAGGCATGAATTCCACTTTCCATTTATAGTGGCCGAAATTAATAAAGGAATTTAAGGAGCTGATTTCCTAAACAAATTTAAATTAATAAATGATTTACATGGCAAGAAACTGATTGATGGAGTAACTCAACTAAAAGTAACTGAAGTTGCTTCCATCAGTGAAAATAGTGATATTGTTACAGTACACCATTGAACAAAATTTAATACTCTTTTAAAACAGACTTATGCAAACCAAATTTATTCTTATCATGTTTAAAACATATTGTTCAACATCATATTATAACACATGGTCAATAGTTAGTCCATACTTAGATGACATTCTGATAGCATTTGCTAGTGACGGAACAACACAGAAGCTAGTGTTTGAAAGATTAAATGCCTATGGACTCCACATTAATATTTCCAAATCCATCTTTGGCACACAAGAAATAGAATTCTTGGGTTATTTAATTACTCTTCAACGATCATGACCTTTACCAGAGTACTCCAAACTACTGTTAATTACAAACTTCCAACAACTATTCACAAACTCAGAACAATCTTAGGCTTTATTAATTTTTATCGACGATATTTAAAAAATGCATCAAAAAACCAATTTATCCTACACGACTACCTTAAAGGAGCCCAGAAAAAAGATAAACGGAAAATTCAGTGGACAGATGAAGCTAAGGAACAATTTCAGCGATGCAAAGATGATTTAGTCAATACAATACTCTTATCATTCCTGAATCATGAACTA